GTTTTAATATTTAGATCTTTGATCCATTTTGACTTTAGTTTAGTACATGGTGATAGGCATGGGTTGTTTTAGTTTTTGGCATGAGGAGAACCAGTTTTTCCAGCACCACTTTATATATTTTTTTTCTGTCTTTTTCCTTTTTACCGGTACCAGGATTTGAACTCACGACTGCCTGCTTCCAAGGCAGGCGCTTATGCCGCTGAGCTAAATCCCCAGCCCCCACCACTTTATATTAAAGATGCTATCTTTCTTCCAGTGAACTTGTTTGGCCCCTTTGTCAAAGATAAGGTGACTGAGTGTGTTTTTAGTTGTAGTTGTATCTTCTGATCTATTCCATTGATCTTCAGGTCTGTTTTTATTCCAGTACCATGCTGATTTTATTATAGTAACTTTGTAGTATAACTTCAAGTCAGGGATTGTGATGCCCCCTGCCTTGCCTTTGTTTCCCAGAAGTGCCTTTGCTATTCTAGGTCTTTCTCTGATTCCAGATGAATTTTAGGAATGATTTCTCTAGATCTGTGAGGTATGCTAATGGTATTTTGCTTGGAATTGCATTAAATCTGTATAACAATTTTGGGAGAATGGCCATTTTCACAATATTCTTCCTATCCAAGAAAAAGGAATATCTTTCCATTTTCTGAAATCCTCTTCAATTTCCTTTTTCAGGGTATTATAGTTTTCGCTGAATAGATCTTTCATTTCTTTTGTTTGATTGATTCCTAAGTACTTCATTTTTTTTGGATGCTATTTGAAAGGTATAGTTTCTCATTTCTCTCTCAGTGATTTTGTTGTCAGTGTATAGGAATGCTATTGATTTTTGAGTGTTTTAACTTTGTATCCAGCTACATTACTTCGAGTCTTTCAATGAAGTTTGGGGGTCTTCTGTGTAGAGTATCATGTCATCTACAAATAATGATAATTTAACTTCTTCTTTTCCTATCCTTACTCCTTTTATTTCTCTCTCTTGTCTAATTGCTCTGGCTAGCATTTCCAGCACTATTTTACAGGAGTGGTGATAATGAACATCCTTCTCTTGTTCCTGGTTTTAGAGTAAAAGCTTTCAGGTTTTGGCATTTAATATGATGCTGGCTGCTTTGTCATAGATGGCCTTTATCATATTGAGGTAAAGACTATCTATTCCAATTTTCTGTAGTGTTCTTATCTTGAATGAATGTTGGACCTTATCAAAGCTTTTTCTGCATCTATAGAAATAATCATGTGATTCTTATTTTTGGCTCTATTGATATGGTGGATTACATTTATTGATTTATGTATGTTGAACCATCCCTGCATTCCTGGGATGACTCCCACTTGGTCATGATGTATAATCTTCACCTGTAAATAATCACTTTTTCCCTTTCCAATTTGTCTGTCTCTGAACACTAATCCCTTTTATGTATCTGACTGCTAATGCATCCATAGAAAATGGTAAAAAGTGGGGATCCTTGGCTTATTTGTGAGTTTCTTGGAAGTGCTAGTAGTGATTGTCCAGCCTTAGAGTTGAAGACATTTTATCATGTTAAGAGAGACCTTAGCAAGTTTATCAAGAATGAAAATTAAGGGGCTGGGGGTTTAGCTCAGTGGCATAAGCACCTGCCTTGCAAGCAGGTGGTCGTGATTTTGATACCCGGTACCAACAGAAATGAAAAAGACAAAAAAAAAAAAAAAAAAAGAATGAAAATTAAGGGGGCCCCAGAACACACAGCAGTGAGTGCTGCAACTCAGCTTCTCCAAGACGAAGGGGCCGAGCCTTAGGGTTCTTGGCCTGGAGGAGGGTTGAAGTGCGGGGAGGGTACGTGGGAGCCCTGAGCTAACAGAGAAGAGAAGAAAACGAACTGAAACCAAAGAAGTAGACCAGGAGGTGGAGAAGGAGAGTGTGCAACACTGTGCCAGCAGCCAGCTCAGAGGTGAAGTGGAACTGACAGTTTTTTGCTCCTGGAAAACGAAGAACTGCGCTGGACCAGAAGAATCACTTGCAGTTGGAACCGGCAAGGAAAACACAGGAGAGGGCTCGCAGACAGTCTTCCATGGTCAAAAGGTGGTGAGCGGCCTCAGTACAAGCATTGCGACTGCAGCCGTGTGGCAGGAGCTGGCTGGGGACACCATGTAGGAAGGCTGGTGTTCGAAGCTGGGTCCCAGAGCAGCCCCTTGGCTGCTTCACACTGCCAGGTTCCAGGTGGACGAGGGGAAGAGTCATGGGAGACCATCAGCAGTTGGACAACAGATGAGGGGAGTCCCGCTGAGAGGCCGGGACTGCAGAACACAGACCCAGGTCCTGTGGTCAGAGGTGAGGTTCAGCCTGAGTTAAACACAGGATTGGAAGCCCACATTGGTGCTGTGTTCTCACTGTGAGCGGATCTCTACACCCAGCACCATTCTAGAGGCAGAACATGACCTTTGACTCTAGCATAAACAGAAACGTCCTGCTTTGAGCTCTGTTCCTTAACCCTGTCGTGAGGAAAAGAGCCACGCAACTGGGAGTGGTGGCGCATGCCTGTGATCACAGTGCAATGGGAGGCTGAGGCAGGAGGGTCACCATGAGCTCAGGGCTAGTTTAGGCTACACAAGTGAGTTCAAGTCTAACTTGCATTACATGGTGAGACCTTGTGTTTGTTTGTTTGTTTGTTTTTTGGTACCAGGGATCAAACTCATGACCTCATGCTTCAGGCAGGGTCTTTGCCACCGAGCTAAATCCCCAGCCCAAGACCCTGTTTTTAAAAATCCAAAAACAAAAAGCAGGAGGATCACTGAGTTCGAGGCCATCCTGGGCCACAAGGTGAGTCCAAAGGCGGCCAGAACTGCATAGTGGTAGCCTATCTCAAAAGAAAAAGAGTTACTGTCAAATGCTGTCTTTTCATCACTGCATGAGACACAGCTATGGCATTTAGTGCACATTAACTGTGGGTCAAGACTTGAGCTGTTAACATGCTTACACTATAACCATGGCTCTCTTTCCCTAGTTAAAGGGAGACTCAAAACAAGTTCTTACAGTATATTACTTGTCAGCCAACCTTGACAGATACTGCCGTAGTGGATTAGCCTGTTCCTGCTATGGATGATTTGACTGCATGGGAAGAATCCTGACTCAGTGGATAATTCTGTGCCAGTGAACCTGTCTGCAAAATCCACCAGCACACCCAAGCAGAGGAACAGCAAGAGGTTTTCTTGTTGTTTTTTGTTTTGTTTTGTTTTGTTTTGTTTTGTTTTTGGAGACAGGGTTTTGCTCTATAATTCAGACTGATCTTAAACTCTCTGTGTAGCCCAAACTCTGCCTCAGCCTCCCAAGCATTCGGATTACAGCCATGTGCCACCATGCCCAGCCAAGCAAGCTTTTGTAACTCAAGAACTCGGATTGGATCAGACTCTGCAAGAATGTCTGCAGGAAGCAAGGTCAAAAACCATGTGATTGGGGCTGAGGATTTGGCTCAGCGGCATAAGCGCCTGCCTTGCAAGCAGGCAGTTGTGAGTTCGATCCCTGGTACCGATAAAAACGAAAAAGACAACACAACCATGTGATCATACAAGAGATGCAGAAAAAGCTTTCAACACAATCTAACACCCTTCTTATTCCAAAAAGAATGGCAATCATTAAATGGTCAATGGCAAATGCTGGTGGTCAATGGCAAATGTGGTTGAAAAGAAGCCTCCTTCATGGCTGGTGGGAACATAAACAAGACAGCCACTGTGGAAGCCAGTATGGAGATTCCTCAGAGAACTGAACTTAGAAATTCCACATAGCCCACCTACCCCCTGCTAGGTATCTTCCCCGAGGGGCTGAAGATATCATACTGCAGTGATACATGCATACCAGTGTTTATAGCAGCACAACTCATGGCGGCTAAATCCTGGAAACAACCTATATAGATCCCAAAGATGACTCGATAAATGCAGCATCTATATTATCATAGAATACTATGTAAAGAATGACATGTCGGGGGCTGGGGATTTAGCTCAGCGGCATAAGCACCTGCCTTGCAAGCAGGCAGTCGTGAGTTTGATCCCTGGTACCGATAAAAATGAAAAAGACAAGAATGACATGTCCATTTGAGACATTTGCAGGAAAATGAGTGCACCTGGAAGATATAGTATTAAGTAAAATAAACCAGACACACAAGCTTAAATACTGTATGGTATCTCTCATTTGAATGAGGCAGAGTACAAAGAAAGAAGATAATAAAGAAGGATACAAGAGGGCTGGGGAACAAGTGTGAGGGGCGAGGAGGAGGGGAAGGGGACGCAGCGCAAATACCTGCCACGTTCAAAAGCCTGCTGACCTCAGCTAGCGCAAACGTAGATCCTGTAGGGTGAGCAAAGACTGGTGACCTCAAAGAGTAAAATCGGATGGAGGAATGGAGGGGAAAGGAAGGAGGAGGTTAGAGGAGAAACAGACTGGTGAGGTGTCTCCTCCCTAAGGGGGCTGCAGACTTCAGGGCCTGAAAACATGTCCTCATAATTTTTTTTAATTTTTAAAAGAATGTAAATTAAATGTGGGTTTTTTCCCTCAATCCTGGAAACAAACCCAGGGCCTTGAGAATGCTAGATAAGCTTTCTACCAATAAACTACATCACAAACCAAGCCCTCAATTTTTTTTTTTTTTTGAGAGCCACAGCAGGAATCTAATTTGATTCTGTGTCATGTGCATGGCTGATTTTTCCAGCCCCACTTATTACATGCATAGTTATTCTTTCCTCTTGGAAAAGCCACCTTCCTGGCTGGGTACGTGGCACATACCTGGGATGCCAGCGTTTTGGAGGCTGAGGCAAAAGGATGACAAGTTCAGGTGTAGCCAGGATAACTTAGCAACTCAGGAGATGCTGTTTCCAAATAAAAGCTGCCAGAGGGCTAGATGTACAGCGCAATGCCAAAGTCCTGGGTTTCATCCCCTGTGCCACCCTAAAAAATTGGAAAGCCCCTTTGGGGCTGGAAGCTTAGCCGAACATGCCTGCCCCAGTTCCACCTCGTTTCGTGTCACTGAGCTTTCTCTAAAATGTCACCGCAGGTGAAGAGGAGTCTTCAGTGGACGTGCAAGGCCTGCGGGGAGAAGCAGTCACTCCTGCGGGTGAGTCTGAGTCTGGGGCCTCGCCGCCCACCTGTGGTTCGGGGCGCACTGAAGCTCTGCACCCCTGTGTCAGATGCTCCTGTGGAAGAGAAAGGGACTGCGGGGTTGGGGTGCGGGCGGGGCCATGGGGTGAGACCTGGTGCGGGTGCTGGGCTGAGCGCACCCCCCAACTCCCTTTCTAGCCTGCCCTCAGTGACCTTTCAGTGCCACAAGTGCTCTGCACCACAGAGGAGCCCACTTGTGCTCTGTCTTTGATCCCTCCCTTCCGGTAGCCAGGGCCCACTCCAGTGCTGCAGGCTCCCGGGCGCACAGGCTTCAGGCTTCCCCTCCACAGTAAGCCCCCAGGGCAGTGCTGGCAGTGACATCACGTGGAGGGGCACCACGTGGGACTTTGCTCCCACCATGCCATCCTCTCTCATGATGCCCTTGTCCTCCCCACCCACCTCTTGTTAGCTTACATCTCAGAAGTAGAATCTGGAATCAAGGCTGCTGGGACGCCTTCCCACAAGGCCCTCTGACTTGGGAATGATAGAAACACCTAAGAATGGTGAAGCAAAATGCAGTGTGCTAGGCGTCCTGGCCCCGGGAGACTCAACTGTAAGAACTGAAAAGATGCAGAAAGCATGGGGCTGGAGGTTTAGCTCAGCGGCATAAGTGCCTGCCTTGGAAGCAGGCAGTCGTGAGTTCGATCCCCGGTACCGATAAAAAAGGAAAAAGACAAAAAAAAAAAAAAGATGCAGAAAGCAAACGTCATCATGTCTGCCCCAAACTCTTCCTCGCTTTCCCTTCCCTTCCCTCCTCCTCTCCTGTGTCCATCACTGTCACATGCCTGTCAGAGTCACTGACACCCCAAGGGACCTGCAAAGCCGAGTCCCTGTCAGGAGGCTGGGAGAAGCTGGCCAAGGATTGGCACAAGGTGACTGACATCTACCCCTGGCACAGGTGCTGCCCCAGCTGGGCAGACTTTCTGCAGTGTCAGTGCGGCTCTCTGAACTCTGCTTGGAAGCCTTTGCCCTCATAGCTCCACAGCCGGGTGATGGTGTGGGCCACGCTGCCTAGGACGTAGCAGTGCACAAGCCAGAATTACAACCCTTAACAAAAGCAGCTGTTTCTCATGCTTTTGTGGTCCTGGGAGGACACTGAGTTGGGATGGGGGCTGCGCCTGGCACAGTCCCACAGGAACCCAGGCTGCCATCCTCTTGGCGTGCTTCGGTTCCCCAAGGCTGGTCTGCCTGTAGCCACCACAAGAGCACGAGCCAGGGGAGATGTCACAAGGCTGCTGGGACCTAGCCAAGAAGTGACTGCTCATCCTGGGGGGAAAGAGCAGTTCCGAGGCCAGGCCTAACCTGAGGTCAGCTGAAGAATGGAGTCATTTTGTGCCCATGTTCAGGAAAGAGGAGGACATGGCCCCACTGGCTGTGCCGGACACGGGACATCAGCTTTTCACCTCTGCCCTTCTTCTCCCGCCTGTGCTCGAACCCACTCCAGCCAGGGCCACAGGCCACACTACCAAGCTGGTGCTGTGGTAAGGGTTACAGCAGCCTCTGTGCCTACTCCGCAAGGGACTCGACTGGTCAGTGTTGTCCACCTCCTCACAACACTGACTTTGTTTAGACTGCCAGGTCACCTGATGTTTTAGTTACTTTTCTCATTCTGAGACAGAAACCCCAGACATCCAAAATTAAAAGAGGGAAGGTTTACTTGGCTTGAAGTTTGTAGTGATTTCAGCCCAGAGCTGGCTCCAAGACAGGGTGGCGAGGCGGGGTCATCACACACGATGAAGGGGTTCATGGCCCCACTGTGTCCCTTAGATCTTATGGGTTGCACACTCTGGGGGCAAATAGCACTCACACCTCAGCAGAGCAGCCCTGAGCCTACCCAGGACTCACCAGAGCAGCCACCTGTGACCACATGAGGCTTTGGAGCACCAGTTTTCCACCTCCCTTCCTATTTGCCTGTCCGCTCTGTGGGCTCCTCTAGCTCACAAGTCCTCTGTGGCATGTGTTCACCCTCCCTCCAACATGCACCTCCCCAGTGACCCAAGATGAGCCCATCCGAGGCAGAAACATATCATGGGCCAGCTCGAGAGCAGGGGCAGCTAGGCCATGCACCAGAACCCAAATGAACCTGCAGCCCAGGGAACCTCACAGGGTGCTGCGGTTTCTGTAACTTCCTGGAAGTCTGCAGTTATTTCAAATAAAAAAGCTTTTTTTTTTTAAAGTACAAAGATGGGGGTCTGGGGATTTAGCTCAGCAGCATAAGCGCCTGCCTTGCAAGCAGGCAGGCATGAGTTCCATACCTGGTACCGATAAAAAAGAAAAAGATGGGGCTGGGGATTTAGCTCAGCGGCATAAATACCTGCCTTGCAAGCAGGTGGTTGTGAGTTTGATCCCCGATACCAATAAAAAGAAGGAAAAAATTTAAAAAAAGAAAAAGACAAAAAAATAAAGTACAAAGATGAAGAAACCTTTGAAAGAACAAAGTACCCCTTGGAACCATGGCTGCCCGGGGTCTCACACCGTACCCCATAGTGCCCTGCTGGATGTCAGATGAGGGCTCCAGAGTGCTTCCTCCACCCACCCATGTCTGCGTCTCTCACACATCAGCTCCCACTTGGTGGGTGTTTGGTGTGAAACCTGGAGTCGTCTGTGACTCCTTTCACCCTTTGTCCAGTCCCTCAGTGAGCTCCTCAGCTCTACCTTCATGCACACGTGTGCCAGGGATGCTCCATGCACCCACCCGACCTTCCCCACCACTACCCCCAGAGGCTCTGTGGGAATGGGTGCCAGGTCGAGTCCAGAGCTGTCCAGATTAGAGCAAGATCCAGAACCTATTCAGTGCTGGGCTTTTTCAGCACAGTTGAGAGGGAGAAACAGGCCTTTGTTGCGCTGCACACCATCACCCAGCTGTGGAGCTATGAGGGCGAAGGCTTCCAAGCAGAATTCAGAGAGCCGCACTGACACTGCAGAAAGTCTGCAAAAGGGGAGCTGATGGGCCCGGGGATGTAGCTCAGCAGCATAAATGCCTGTCTGGCAGGGTTGTCGCCATCAAACTTTAGGGTGACATCAGCACCATTCGCTACAGAAAAAAATCTGTGTCCTTAGAGACCAGGGCTAGGCCTGGTCCAGCCTCCCAGGAGGCGATGGGAGTACTTCCCTAAGCAGAGCTCTGAGCTGCCCAGCTGAACCCCTGGGTACCCACCTTGTATTTCAACTTGCCAGAGGGCTCAGCTGGAATCTCCAGTCCCTCGATGGCTCTGCTTCACATGGGCAGAGCCACCTGAGAGAACATCTCCAGCATGTGCTCTGATGGGAGAACACTAGGAACCCGGTGGCTCTGTTGTCACCCACCCACAGTCAGTGCTGTTCTGTTCCGGCATCAGCTGTGGGTCCTGAACTTACCTGCACTTGAGCAGTGAAGCACAGAAGTCTGCAGGCCGGGGTCTCAAGTGGCTGGGCTGCTTGGCTTTCCCAGAAGCCTTGGGCATTATTAAACAAACAACATGTATGTTTGTTTTCTCCCTTGGGTTCCTGCGGGTTTATAACCAACCTGGAAATAGCCCACGCTGTGCTCAGGGTCCTCCTAGATCCCAGCCTCTAACACCCTGGACCCAACGGGCCCCTGAAGAGACAGTGCCGCCGAGACATCTGGGCTGGTGGCCTTGTTGAATACAGACCCGCTCCCCCCAGGTCAGCTCAGGTGGGCCTGCCCCCAGCGTTTCGAGATGCAGACAGTTTAGTTTGTTTTTTCCTTTTTAGACTTATGGTGAGGGCTCTGGTGCTGACTGCAGACGCCACGTTCAAAAACTAAATCTGCTACAGGGACAGGCTTCGGAGCTGTCACTCAGGTACAGGGGCTGGGGAGGGGCGTGTTGTCATGTGCTGCTTCGTCTTGACCGGGTGGTGGCCGTGGACAGCAGAGATCCTTAGATGACTGCATTGTGCAGTAACCGCCCGTAGCTGGCTGCAGCGTTGCCAGTGCACTGCAGCACTGTAAAAGGTGAAGGCTTCTCAGCAGTTAGGGAGGCCGAGGCCCGAGGGTCACAAGTGCCAGTGCTACCTGGGCAACTTAGTTGTTCTTTTTAGGGTTTTGGGGTTTTTTGTTTTTGTTTTTTGTCTTTTTGAACAGGGTCTCCCTATACAGTTCAAGCCGGCCCTGAGCTCGCTTTGTAACCCAGGCTCTTCTTAACCTTATAATGATCCTCTTGCCTCAGCCTCCCCAGAGTGCAGGAATTACAGGCATCACCACCATGCCTGTCCCTGGGCAACTTAGAAAGAACCTGTCTCAAAGTTTAAAAAAAGATAAAAAGGGCTGGGGATGTAGCTTCGTGTAGAGCGTCCCTGGGTTCAGTCTCCAGGACCGCAGAGCAGACAGCAGGCACACACTGGGCTGGGGAAGTAGCAAGTGTAAGAAAAAAGGAAACAGGAGTGGGAGTCCCAGTCCCAGAAGGGCGGCGCCTTTGGGCCTCAGGGCGGGCGTCAGCTGCTGGCTGGAGGCACCTTGCGGCCATGGGCAGGGCACATACAAGCACGTGCAGCTCGAGAGCCCCCACAAAGCCCCAGCACGGTGCCTCTGCCTTTCATCCTTCCACGCTGCCTGTCTCGGAGCCATACCTGGTGGGCCCTCCTAGGTCCCAGCCTCTAACACCCTGGACCCAACGGGCTCCTGAAGAGCCCCACCCAGGGGCTGCATGGCCAGCCTTGTGGGAGTCACATCAACCGTCCCCTCCAGATTCAGCTCGTCGCTAGGGCAGTTCGCAGAATCAGGAGGCTCTGCTTACATTGCTGAGTTAATCTGAGAGGCTTTTGTCTTTGGTCTTGGGTGGTGGTGGCGGCGGTGGTGGTGGCTTTTATGGTGGTGGTGTTTGAGACGGTCCCCCTTGTATCCCAGGCTGGCCTTGAACAGGCAGTCCTCCTGCCTTAGCCTCCCAAGTGCTAGAGCATAGGTATGTGATACCACGCCAGGCACAAAGAACACATTTATTAAAGCTGGGGGAGAAGTATGTTCTGCAGCCCAGAGGGTAGAGGAAAGGGGATGTTTGTGTCCGCCAAGACCAAGGTTATCCCTTTTTATATAAATGAGTCACTGGGAATATAGCATCTTATCAAATGCTCACTTGCCATCACGCCTTGTGTAAACTGGCATAAGATTCATTGGCTTCCTGTTATGTGTAAGAAAGATCAGCAAGTGTGTCTCACAGCTGTGTTCGGGCCACATGCCTGTAATTCCAGCCCTTGGAGACTGAGGCAGGATTCCCTGAGTTCAAGGCCAGCTTGGGCTACGTAGTGAATTCCATGCCAGCCTGAACTTCACAGTGAGACCCTGCCCCCTCCAAAAAAACTATGTGGTGATCGGTTGTGCCCACATGCAAAGAAAGGACTGGGGAAAGTGTCTTCTAATTAGTCTTGAGAGCAGCAGTAGGCTATTCCGATGGAAACAGGAAGTTTCTGACCTGTGTGAAATGCCACTCTGATGCTGCAGTGGCAACAGCCACACCAGCACCGACAGGCAGCCAGGACCGGAGGCAGGCTTGTTTACGTCAGCGGGCGCCCATCGGGATCCCTCCCAGAATGTCAGGCCTGATCTCCGGTGGTCGGGGGCTTTTATGTGATGAGCAAGCGGGAAGTGCAGAGGTGGAACGCTTGTCAGTTGGGGACAGTTTACACAACGTGCGTCACAGTGAGCAGCCTGTCTGAGACAGAAGCAGCTGAGGTGTGCTGGGGGAGGGCATTTTCAGCTGCAGGGCTGCTGTGTTGTCATGCGTTTTCCCCAGCAGTGTCCCTCGCCCTGTTTCCCTGTCTCGGAGGCCACGGTCAGGGTCTGGAAGGCTCCCAAGCACAGGGGTTTGGTCCCCTAGCAGTGGGGTCACTGTCCCCCAGCATGAGGCAGCTGTGGTTCGCCCTGTCCCGCCATGGCCGCCTTCCCAGTGGCAGCCTCTTCTTCCAGCCTCTGGGTGGGGCGGATCAGAGTCCTGGGAGGTGGGGGGGGGAGCTGGCCTCAGCTCCCCGTTCACAGCTGCTGGCCCCTGGGGAGGCCTGAGGGCACACTGAGCCCGGAGCTGAGAGCTGGGTGCTGCACTCAGCACACCTGTGCCGAGTTCCAGCCGATCAATGAGAGCAAATAGTAATAGCAGAGAATACAAGGTAGGCCAAGCAGGGCTCCAGCGGGAAAGAAGAAGGGAACAGGCGCAGACAAACCAGACGGGGCAGGTGCCCATCACTGAGAACAGTTGTGGGCCTGGGCCTTAGCTCAACAGCACAGCGCCTGCCTGGCAAGCGTGAGGTCCTGAGTTTGATCCCCAGTATCAAAAAAAAAAGTGATTCTTGCTGGGTGTGGTGGGGCACACCTGTAAATAAGCACTGGGGAGGCTGAGGCAGAAAGAGAGCTCTGAGTTCAAGGTCAGCATGGGCTACATATGGAGACCCTGTCTCAAAACACACAAAAGAATAATTGTCTAACTGTGCATCTAAATGGATGTATTCTAGCATAGGAACACTTCGGTAAGTTAATACAAAAAGTTTCTAATCTGCCTTCAGGCATGCCAACATCCTGAAATGGCACCCTGAAGTGGCAGCACAGAGAGGCAGAGCTGGAGAGAAGCTTGAAGAGAGCACCAGGCACTGGACTCATTGAGTGTGACATCAGAGACAGGCCTCGCACGTGCTGGGCACACACACTGCCTGGCACTGAGCTCGACCCCACCCTAGGGTGAGGTTTTGTGATTTTTTTTTTTTTTGTCTTTTTCGTTTTTACTGGTACCAGGGATCGAACTCACGACTGCCTGCTTTCAAGGCAGGCGCTTATACCGCTGAGCTAAACCCCCAACCCCTTATTTGTTTTTATGTAGCCCAGGTGATCCTCCTGCCTCAGCCTCCCAGGTGTGCCCCACCACACCCAGCTGGAGTTGAGTTCATAAATCATAGAAGGTAGACAGCGTCCTGGCAGGAGCTCACAGCAAAGTGCTCACCTAACTCTTCAGGATAGCCTGATCGATAGGAGACCCTGTCTCATCCTCCTGACAGCCCCAGGAGAAAGATTGGCTTCTATTGAATAAAAGGCAGCTAAGGCAGAGGGACCATTGTGTTGTTGTCGTTCATTTTTTAGTATTGTGGACTGAATCTGAAGCCTTTGCGCTAAGCTATACCGCTAGCCTGTGTGTGTGTGTGTGTGTGTGTGTGTGTGTGTGTGTGTGTTTTGTGGTAGTGTCACTGTCACTGAGTTTCCAAGGCTGGGCTCAGACTTGGGCTCCTCCTGCCTGCCTCAGCCTCCTAGAATTCTGGGATTGCAGGTACACACTCCTGACTAGGGTTTATGTTGAGTTGGGGGTTCACTGGATCCCATTTCTGCCAGGTGACACAGCAGTCAGGTCTGAGAGTGGATGTGGTCTTGGCCTCACCCTGCAGTCACCCCCTCCCATGCATGCCCCCCCATCCAGCACACACCCGGCTCTGCACGCTGTCCTGGCAGGAGCCCTCTGTTGTCACCAGACAGGGCCTTCGGGGCCCCCTAAAGAGGACCAGTTATGGGGTGAGGGCCACAGGTTGCCCGAGTGGGCCGCGTCAGAGCCGAGCAGCCGGGAGCAGCTGGTGTCATGGGCGGTAGGTGTGCTGGAGGCCAACATTCAAGCCAGTTTCTAGGTGGCTGTGAAGTTTGTCCCTACTGTATCCCCGAGCTGTTGGGACCCCAAGGTGACTGTGTGCGCAGGAGTGGCCAGACTGTGGAGGATCACCGGCTGTCCCCAGCATCTTCCCAGGGCTGAGGTGGGCTGCATCAGTTCAAAACCATGGCACTACAGAGCCGGCAGTTAGCCCCGCCTGCCTGCCTGATGCCCTTGGCAGGGAGCTGTGGGCTTCAGGTGATAAAGGAGACCAACACAAAATGAAGGTCAGGCTTTGTCCTGGTTTCAGTCACCCATTGGGTACCTGGAGCCAGACATGGTGCCACACACCTGTGATGGAGGCTGAGGCAGGAGGATTGACCAGCCTAAGCTGTATCCCCAGCCCTCTTTCATTTAGGGCCTTACTGTTTTGCAAAATAGTCCACGCTGGGCTTGAACTTGTGGTCTTCCTGCCTTAGAGGCTGGGATTGCATTATGCCACTGTGCCTGGCCAGAGTCACTCTCTGGTGCAAGCAGCTTTGCAGCCCGAGGGCTAGGAGGGTGTCTGCTTCCCTCCCCGGGTTGCCGGGCTGTCTCCTGTACAGTCTGTCCCGGCAGTGGCAGGGCAGGCTGGTGCCACTCAGCCCCACTGACATTTTTGTGTGTAGGCCCCGGCTGGTCCTGTGGCTCACACAGTGACCAGAGAAGCCAGGCTCAGCACTGTCCCCATGGCCCACCACAGGCCCACGTCAGCCTTGGTGCCACCTCCATGCACGTGCTGTCTCCCTACAGGTCTCCAGAGGATGCGGAGGGACCCACAGGTCCTGGGCCAACTGGCGGCAGTAGCAGCCTGCAGGTAGGCAGTACCCAACAGCTGGCCCATGGCCTGGCTCAGTGGGCGTGGACAAAAGCGGCCACTGTTCGCAGCCAGCGGAAACGAGTCAGAGCAGGGCCAGGCAGCAGGTGCCAGCTGGCTGCTCCAGGGTGGGATCTAAGCGGGAGCCTCATTCCCTTCCCCCTGAAACTGGGCTGTTGTCCCCCATCAGATCACCTAAGTGAGCCCAGCAGACCTAGACAGGACGGTCACCTGAGTTGCAGCCAGCCTCAGCTGCAGCTTAAGTGGTGCCACTGACACTTCCAATTTGGGATCTGCCTTTCAGTATAGTGTGGCCTCCAGTGACACTGCAGCCGCACCCTCGCACATGAGAGCTTCTCAGAAGGCAGAGGCAGGAGGGACCATGGGCATCTGGAGCAGTGTCCTGCTGAGCCAGCTCTGCTCAAGGACCACAGTTGTACCCTGGCCACTGGTCACCTCAGTCATGTTGCGCGTGAGGGAGAAGCTTGCAACCAACAAACAGCCCCTTGCTGCACCTGGGTCCTGCAATCCCCTCTGTAGCCCCAGAGCCAAATCAGTCCCTGCGACAGGGTCCTGCTGTGCAGCTCAGGCTGGCCTCGAGCCCACTGTGTAGCCCAGCTCCTCCTGCTTCAGCCTCTGAGTGCTGAGATTCAGCTCAGGGAAACTTCGGACAGTTGTCCTTCTGCTTTCCAGGGCCTCCACACCTCCTCCCCACTACACGGCGTGGCCCGGCCCTCGGAGAGCCGCTGGCTGAAGTACCTGGACAAGGGTCCCAGCGCACACAGCCCAGAGCAGCCAGGCCCACCATGTGGCCAGACCCTCCCCAGCAAAAGGTGCCAGGGCCCAGGGCTCCTGCGGGTCGTGACTGGGAGAACCCCTTCCAGGATAACCTGACTACAGTGTGGGGTGTGGACACACTGTGTAGTACCCAGTTCCTTCTCTACAACCCACACCTCGGGAGGAATCAGGGTTTTATTTTGGGGTGTTCTGGTGCTGTGCCTTTTGTTTTGAGGCACATCTCACCATGTAGTGCAGCCCAGACTGGCTTTGAGCCCAGTGGGATCCGTTCTCCTGCCTCAGCCTCCAGATAGGTGTTACCACCACACCTGGCATGGTTTTCCAGTCAGGGCCTTTGCTATATATAATCCAGGCTGGGCTCCAACTCATGGCAGTCCTGCCTCAGCCTCCCAAGGGCTGGGATTAGTGTGCACCACATCCAGCAGGAACTAGCTTTAAAGGCACCGAGTAGGTGTGGTGTGGCCAGCGTAGCTAATGGGCCTGGGGAGCTTCCAGCCTGGAGTGTGGCTGCAACTGTACAAGCTCCCCTCGGTCTCAGGGAGGCAATGTGGTTAAGAAGGGCAGTAGGGCAGAGGCTGGTGACCCACCAGGCCCACCCCAAGGTGCTGTCACTCTGAGGGGACCCTCTGCCTACAGCTGGATGGTCACGACACTTTCCCTCCCAGGAGACGAAGCACAAAACAGCCTCCATGCAGCCTCCATGTCCAGGGCTTGGGAAACACCAGGGTCACCTTGGAATCACAGGTCAGTGATGGAGCTGGTGCGATCTCTGGTCACGTGACTAGGAGCAAGCCTGGGGGTGGGGTGTGCACCGCTGCGCTGGACCCAAGTTTCTGCACATGCCACGCTCACCACAGTGCTGCAGCTGACGCACCCACGCTGGCCTCAAGCTTTCTGAGCTGCCTGGTAACCCCAGGCAGGCACATGGCCCAGACTCTGACTTGTTACACGAGTAGGGACCAACCCCAGGAGGCTGAGGCTGTATAGTCACAGGCTGCAGCCCTGACGGGCTGGGCTGAGCAAAACCCTGGATTCCTTGACCGTGCAGCTCCAGTTCGGGCACAGTGAAACAGGGCAGATCCTCTCCTCTCCCTGTACCTGGAGGATGTCTCATGGAACCCTGCTGTCTTTGTCCCTTTGTAAGCAACAAACCCATTTTCAGAGCTCCTCTGGCTCTCAAAGTGGCAGAAGCCAGCGCCCCAGCGCCAGAGCTGGTGCTGCTGGTGAAGTCTGCATCTGCACCTTCCCAGGGGCTCAGATGTCTACACAGCTGCAGGCCCACAGAGAGTATCTGCTCTCGGGGACATCTGTCAGCATGCAAGTGGGACTGGTGCACTGCCCTTGGGAGCAGAGCAGAGCAGACACTAGCAGCCTGTGCCTGTCACCCCACAGCCATACCCAAGCCACTGACTCGGTTTCCCATTTAGGACACACCCCACAGGCCCTACAGCACCAGCAAACCTGCTCCTCTCCAGGGGGAGCTGCCAAGTGTGGCCCCATCTTCTAAAGGGGCACAGTTTCTGCTGTCACCCAGAAGCAGGTCACAGATGGGCACTGAGCCACTGGCATCATTGCAGAAGGACTCAGGCCAGCATGGGCCGAGCTCCCCAGAGGAGGCCACCTCAGTGAGCCTATCACCACTGTGCCGGTTGGGGACACCCCAGAGGCAACCTGGGCCCACAGGTCTCAGCAGGTGCCACGCAAGCAACTGTGCAGCCTCTTCTCCACCGGGGAGGACTTCGATGACACCCTGTGAGGTGCAACTGCTGGGCCGCACTCCCGTTGAACAACAGCGTCCCCCACACAGTAAGAACCCTAGGCCTCAGGCAGCAGAGGAGGGGCTGGGCTAAAGTGCGTGCGCTTTAATCAGAGGTGACTGCTGGTCTGCAGACAGGGCGCAGCAGGGCAGGGCTCTCCTCGGGCACCATGCTGCACTTGAGCAAAGGCCCCCTCACCAGTCCCTCCCCAGGCCTCAGGGGCAGTGACAGCACCCCAACAGCAGCCAGGCATCTGTGTAATTACTCACTGTAAGCAAGCTCAGGGTTGTGGGTGAGACATGGGTGGGGACAGGGACCTGGCTCTGTTGCCTATGGCCGCATCACCTGCCCCATGGCTCTACACGTCCTCACCTAAGATTCTGGAAGGACACAGAAAGTGGCCCCAGAGGGTCTGCTGCCCTACACTACACGGGCGCAACTAGGGGACGGGGCCCAGGCAGTCACAAGGGTGGCGGCTGCTTGGAGTACTGGATGGTGTCCAACGCTGCCCCAATGTCATAATTCTTGGTCTGCAGGAGCCGGGTGAGCCAGCCGCCTTCATCTGAGAACCCCATGGACAGCATCTGCGACAGTGATTCGATCAGCCGAGGGTCAGCCTCTGCTGAGACAGGAGGACTACTTCAGCTGGGCAATGCTGAGCCCAGTCTGGGCCACACAACACCGAACCAGGAAAGACAACACCACCCAGCCACATGGCTTTCACTGGTCTCCAGTCATTGGGACAGCCACTCCCACAGAGCTCAGACTCCAAGATGGGCGCAGAGGACCAGCTTGGCCTTGTGGGGGTGCTCCCGACAGCTTTCACCCTGAGCTGCACCCCTAGCCACTCCTTCCAACTTGGAGACAAAGTCCCTACATCACTAATTTGTCTAGGCCAGGCTTAAATCCACCCTCTTCCAGCTTTAGCCTCCCTGGTGCATCATGTTTCAGGCAACCTGATGCCATGCCTGCTGATCACCTTCATTCCTGGTCTACCTATTAAATTTGGCAGATGACTAAAACTGACTGAGCTCACAGCACAAGGACTCAAAGGACCTAAGCCCGGACCCGCTGCCCCCATTGGCTCAGGGACTGACAAGGCTGGCACACTTGCCTGGGGGGAGATGGGGGTACAAGGCGGCTTCCTTCAGCCCTGTGGGCCCCTCCTGGGTGGTGTCCAGAGAGCTCGGCCCTGCTGACTCCGGCATCTGCAAGGACTGCAGCTCTCCAGTGGACGGGTCCACTTCTTTTGAAGACAAGTGAGTCCAGTCATCGTCCCCTCCAGAACCGTTGTTGTCAGATTCCATCTGTTACAAGAAAACACGCTGTGAGCACACAAAGGCAGAGGCGCTGGTGTCACCCTGTCCCCTGGCCCTGAGGAGGTATGAGGGGGCAGGCCTACCTCGCTCTGCCCTGGGGACTCCAGGGCAATCTTCTTCATCTGCTCTGCCAGAGCCTGCGCTGTGCCTGCACCTGTGCCTGTGCCACTGCTGCCCGGAGGGCTGGGCTCAGAGGAGCAGCTGCTGGGCTGGGAGCTGCCTTTGTCCTTGGTGCCCGAGCTCTCGGGGGAGCCAGGTGTCAGGCGGCTCCTCTTCCCTCCATGCTCCACATCTATGTCAACTTCGATGCCTGGAAGCCAAGCAGCAGGCACTGGGGTCAGGGCTGGCCTGTGCAGGGAGGAGCCCCGTGCAGGAACCACAGGTTTAGAAGGCTCAGCATCACCAGTGTGAGCGGAGCGGTGACAGGGCACTCGGCCTTGCCCTGCCCTCTGTCCCAGTATACCCCAAGGCTAGGCTGCCTTATGGATCATATGACAGTGTCTTTGTTGGTGCTGGGATCAGACAAGTGCTCACCTCTAAGGGGTGGCCATTACGTTGTCACTGTGGCCAGGGAAGCAGCACTTCAGGTCAGAGGCGGCCACTGTGGGGCAGACTCCCCCAAGTCCCCAGCACCCATTGTCTGCATCTCTCGCCACGCACAAGCTCCCAGCATTCTAGTAATCATGTGCGTTGTAGCAACCATGTTTGGGGCCCCTGAATCCAACAGTACTCCAGCAGCCAGAGGCTGGGGTGATCAGTTCTGGTCCCCAGCTCCAACGGCTGCTTTTCCCTGAAGTCAACATCCTCACCAAGAAACACTCCGGTTCCTATGGTAACTCCCTCTGTATAGTCTTATTCTGGAATTCCTGCTCATCCTCCCCTTAGGATGCCAATTATTCATCTTTCCATTCTTGGAATACATGATCTTTTGGCAGGGCAGGAAACTGACTGCAGGCCTGCCGGGTAACCCCCTAAAAAGGTGTCTGAGCTGGGTGTGGTGGCTCATGCCTGTAATCCTAGCACTCTGTAATCCTAGCACCTGGGAGGCTGAGGTGGGAGGATCCTTGCAAGTTCGAGACCAGCCTGGGCTACAAAGTGAGCTCAAGGCCAGTCTGAACTGCATAGTGAGACCCTGTCTCAAAAAAAAGACAAAGGGTGGGGGGGTCTGGAATTTACTGGAGACCCACCCACTCTCTCCTGGAGTGAAATCACCTCTGGGTGACTTGGGACACCTAAGGCAGCACAAGCGCTGTGTCTCCATAGTCCGGCACCCAGGGCTCTCTATAGCTGGACCTAGGCACATGGAAGCTCCTGTATCTATGCACAGAGGTCAAGCTCTGAGGCAACCTTAAAACCTAAGCCTGTCAAAGAAATAAGTCTTGCTTAAAAGTTTTTTTTTCTCTGCTAACGTTAATTTTCAAGACCTTTCTGACACTGCTTCCTTGTTACTCATCCTGTCCCTGTCCGAGGTGTGGGCTGCAGGCCAGGGGTGTGGGCACTGCTGTGCTGCACTGCCCATGGCCAAGGGCAAGGCATTGAGACGCCTGCACTGAGGGTGGCCCCAGACCCTGCTGCATCCTCCCTGGTTGACAAGACAGGGGCCTCTCACATTATCCGCTGCTCCTTGGCCTGTGTCACTCACTGGTACCTAAAAGGTGGCCCTACATCTCTCCAGTGTCCGCTGCACAGCCACCCTCCTGTTGGCTCTCACCCCCTTCTATTCCAAAGCCCAGTGACCTCATCTCACTGCTGCCCCCTTTCTCTTGGTCCTGGCCACCTGTTACTTTAGCAGTTTGCCAAAAGATGGGGTATAGCACAAGACCCCCCCTGCATCTAGTCCCCAGCACTGCATACACATCACAAAAAGGCTCAAGCAAAGTTGGGCCTGTGGCACATGCCCTTCCCAGTATACAGAGGCTGAGTCAGGAAGATCCCCAGGTCAGGCAGCCTGGGCTACCTGGCAAAAGCTTGCCTCGGAAGAAAAACAGCAAATAGTGTACACCTTCTTAAAAACCCTGCAAAAGCTGTGGTTTTTTTTTTTTTTTTTTTTTTAAAGTCTTTTTCCTTTTTATAGGTACCGGGGATCGAACTCACGACTGCCTGCTTGCAAGGCAGGCGCTTATGCCGCTGAGCTAAATCTCCAGCCCCTAAAAGCTGTGACCTTTTTCCTAGGAGCCCTCTGAGTGTTTCCAAAATGCCTCCCAGCATCCCGAGTGGGGAATCCAGATCAGTCCATAGGCTCTGAGCAGCAGACAGCTCGGGGACAGTGGGACACACAGGGACCCCAGAGCCCACCACTACCCACTTAGCAGCCTCAGGTTGGTTTCAAGGTCTGCCCCTGGGATCAGCCTGGGGTTGACTTGCTCCACTGCAGGGCGCTTTCCTGGGTGACTGCACAGAGCCAGCATGGCCCACAGTGGAGGAGCCCTCGGCATCTACCCTGGCCTCCATCCCCTAAACTGCCAAAAATCAACCATCTTAGTGAAGTTTCCACACCAGTGTGGACCCCAAAAAGCCTGTCAGTTGGCCTGGTGCTCAGCCAGGCCAGAAAGGTGCTGTCCACTCTCTTATGGTCCAGAGACGTGGCCCTCAGGGTCCAGCCTATGTCCCAAACAGCCCTCCCCATCAGCCTGGAAATGCACTGGAGCCTCGAGCATAGGCCTGTGTCCAGCTCAGCAGCACAGCCTAGCTCAGGACACCTCAGAGCCTTTCCCTGCAGAAACCACATGTGGCCCCTCCAAGCATACCCCAGGCAGAGTGAGCCCCTGTGGAACAACCTCTGGGTGTCATTCCTGGAGAAAGACACTGCAAGGGTAGCTTGGGCCCCCTCCTGTCTGTGACTAGACATGTCCAGGAGGGGGGCACTTCCTGCCACCACAGGACAAGTACACTCCTCAGCACAATGCCACAGCCATTAGCATCCTGACCCAAGACTTCTATCATGCAGCCTGGCACCACCCCCCAACCTCAGCAGAATGTGTATAGCACAGGTCAGGGCCCAGCACACTAGGCTACCACCCCAGGGTCCTGCTGTGCCAGAGCCAGCTGTCAGCTGGAGCAATACCCCGTCACTCCTCCCTGACACTGCATGGGGCCAACACCCAGGCACCACTAACTACCAAGTCCCGAGTCCCATCCCTAAGGCTCAGCTTAGGGACAATGCAGACAGAAGGGAACCAGCCAGTCCTTACCCTCACTACTAGGGTGACTCCATGAGACTGGCTCACCAGCCAATCTACAAAGACAACTGGGAGCTTGTCCTAGAATCTGGGCTTGAGGTGACTGTGGCCTGCGGCACATGGCAGAGGGGACTCTGAGGAGGTCACAGCATCTCTCCAAACCAAGAGTATGCTGCTTTCCTGTCCCTCAGCCTCATGCCAGATGAAAGTTGCAAAGAGGCCGTGTGCCTACCACATCACCCAACCACTTGGATGACTCAAAGGGTCCCGGACAAAGAAGTCACTTACCCAGAGGGCTGAGTGCAGCTGCCACGCTCTCCCCTACGTTCTTCAGGAAACTAACTCCGGGATCCTCGGGTGGGCCAGAAGCTTTGATTTTTATAAACAAAAACGATAGCCTTAACGCCTTGGACACCCATGGCAGTCCCAGCACCTGCACACCACAGCCCGATAATCCCAGCAGCCGTCACTCTAGCCCGAATATCCCAGGCTCCCTCTACCTCAGCCTACACCCCCAGAGCTCAGTGTCCATAATATGCAAATTCTATGTCCTAGACCTGCTATTCATTCAAAATCAAGTATCCCCAACTTTGTCCCACAAAGCGGTGTTTAAGTTTTTAACTTCACCATGTTTTTAAAAGACTTGATCATCGCTGGCTGACCTTCCTGACAGTAACACAAGGGAAGCAGAGGACATCAGAGATGTAGAGGCCAGAGAGCCTCCCGGACAGCTCAGACGGGCAGACTGGTGGGCAGGAAGGAAAGCCTGTGCACTGAGGCACCCCGATTTGTGCCCTCGATGAAATGGAACAATGCTGTGTTCTATAGAGTCTGTGAGAACTGAATGGCGCGAGGCAGCTGGGAAGCCCCAGGGTCTACTGAGGGACAGCGGTGCAGGACCCAGGGAGGTTCAGCGAGGAGCCGCCCAGGCACAGGCCTTACCCGACTCTGAGGCAGGGCTGGTGCGGATGTCCCCTGCCCGAGGAGGCCGAGGGCTCCAGTTGCCTGGGGGGCCCATCTCCCAGCCATGCCACCCTCTGTGGCCGTGTTTCAGCTTCCGGAGCAGGCGGTTGAGAACCAGGCCCTGAGCGGAGGAAGCAGAGCGGCAGGCAGGTGAGCACCAAGGTCCCAGGCCTCAGCCAGGCTACACTGGCTTCAAGCCACAGGGGCCTACCTCGGCCAAGTGTCCTGGGGGCCTGGTGAACACAAGCTTGCTGTGCTCCTTGTGGATGCCTTTGCCCTCGCAGGTGGCACACAGATCGTAGTCCGGACACACGCTGCACTTGTAGCGGGTCCCCACCACAGGCCCATTGCAGCCATCGCAAATCACGTTGGGGTGCACCATGGGGCCAGGCGCTTCCTGTGCGCAGTGGGGTCGGTGCTCCCTCCGGTACTCCTTCTTCTCTGCGGGGAGACAAGAGGGACAGGGTGAGGGTGAAGCCCTGAACCCTCCCCCGCTACCTCCTGCACCTGCACTGGGCTATCCAGAGCGACAATACACTCCAAAGTGAGATGTCCAGATGATAGTCTGCGCCAGCAGGAGGGTCCCACGTCCTGGTCACTCACTGGGGACATGGGGCGTGGGTAGCAAGAAGCCACAGGGAGGGAACCCTGTCTGTGCGTGGTGCCTCGGTGCTCCCCAAAATCACCGTGGTTTCCCCCACTCCTAGCACCAGACCCGTCCCCTGGCAGGCACATGAACTCCCCTCCTCAGGCCAGAGGCAGCACTTAACAACAGCTCTGTCCTCACTGGACAATGCCATGTGGCAGCCCTTACCTTTAATATAGATGCGGAAGATGTCATCCTTCACATAGGACATGGCCATCATCAGCTCCTCATCACTAGAAAAGGCCACCAAGTCCCCATCCTCATCTAGAGAGTTTACAAGACAGCAAGCACATCAGGGCCGGGGAGTCAATCAGGCACAATATAAGCCCAGCTCACATGAAGCCCTACTCATTCCCCAGTTCTCCCCGCAAAAAAAGAGCAAGACAGCACATGAGCACACAGGGTTCTCCCCCAGACACAGCTGCTAAGACATGCTGAGGCCAACAAGCACTTGTTGCAGGGCTCTAAACTCTGCGCCAGACAAGTAGGGACAAGAAGCAAGACTGCCCATTCACGCTGAAATGGCTTGGATGGTTAAGTTGAGAGCCTGTCTAAAAAAGAAAGAAAAAGAAAAAAGACATTTGAAGGAGAACTGCAGCTTCATTACTTAAATGCAGTACAGAATCATATGCCTGTAGTCCTAGCTGCTCCGAAGGCTGAGGCAAGAATGTCACTCAAGCCCAGATGGAACAGCATAGTGAAACCCCATCTAAACACAAAAACGGGCTGGGGAGTTAGCTCAGTGGCATAAGCACCTGCCTGGCAAGTGCAAGGTCATGAGTTCGATCCCTGGTACCCAAAAAAAAAAAAAAAAAAAACAACTGGATTTCTACCTGTAGGCTGAACCACCAGACAACAAAATTTACAAGAAAGGGAGCAGCCCTCAAAGATGGAAAAAAACCTTGCAAGGAGCTGAAATTATCCCATGCATATCAGACCACAGTGCAATGAAATTGGAAATCAACAAAGAAACCACAAGAACTTCATCATAAACAGATGGAAACTAAATAACATCCTCCAAAACAACCAACGGGTCACAGATATAATTAACATAACATACCAGAACTTATGGGACACAAAGTGGTCCCTACAAGGAAACTGTATAGCAAGGAATACCCATATCACAAAAACAGAACAAGCTCAAACAACTTAATGTTGAACCTCAACCTTCTAGAAAAAGAGCAGGCCAAACCTTCTTCGAGGGAGAACACTATAAAGATCAGAGCAGATGCTGGGACTTGGGAGACCAACCAAGAAACCAACTAGCCAGCCTTCCTGGTGAGCTGTGCCAGCTTCACAAGCCAGGCAGAGGTAGTCAGCACCCATATGAGCTGAGAATCAAACACTGTCCATTGTCATGCAGCAACGTCTGGCCCTGCCCATCCCATCCCCACCACCACATGTTTTACCAAGGTTGCCAGAATTTGGCTGAGGCCAGCGATCTGAGGCTGAGGCTAGTCTGGAGCCAGTGGTCTGAGCATGTCTCGAGAGGATGACAGTATGCAATATAGCAAATATGAGTGATTTCCTTCTATCTTGTCTTTGAAGTACAATATTGTTTTCACCATTTTGCTTTATTCTGATTGTTTTGCTTTTACTCAATATTCTGCTTTGATTGGTTTTATGGTGTTTTGCTACATCTAATGGAATGGACAACTATTGTGAAGATAACAAGATATACTCTGGTAGTTATTGTTTTCCCGGTAATACTGCTTTGAAGTTCTGTACCAATTCTGCTGCATTGTTTTGATCGGCTTTGTTCTGTCGTGTTCTGTTGGATTTTACTATCTTTAAAATAAATCTTCTGAAATTGTGATTTGAAATAAATAAAAGAAAAAAATTAAAAGATCAGAGCAGAAAATAATGCAATGCAGACTAAGAAAATACAAAGAATTAAAGAGTTGGTTCTTTGAAAGATTAAGTAAAAATCGACAAATGCTTAGCCAATCGTATATTAAAAGAAGGAAAGACAAAACTCAAATCCATGCAATTAGGAATGAAAAGACTGAAATCACAACAGAACCTGCAGAAATTCAGATCATCCATACCTACTTTCAGAACTTACATGCTTTTTATTTTTTTAAATCGGTACCAGGGATCGAACTCACAACTGCCTGCTTGCAAGGCAGGTTTTTATGCCGCTGAGCTAAATCTCCAACGCCAGAACTTACATTCTAATAAGAAGGAAAATACAGAAGAAATGGACAGATCCCTAGATATGTATCACCGAAGCAAATCTAAAAATCCTAACTAAACCAGTACCAATCAATGAGTTCTACAAGGTGCAGCAACTAAAGTAACCCCGCTCTCTGGAAGCTGAGGTGGGAGGGTCATCAAAAGTTTGAGACCATCCTGGGCAAGCAACTTGGTAACTGAAATAGTCTTTTAAAAATGTTTACATACATTAAGGTTGGGGATTTAGCTCAGTGATGTATGCGCCTGCCTGGCAAGCATGAGGTCATGAGTTCAAACCCCCCCTTACTAAAAAAAAAAAAAAAAAGTACATTAAAGAAAAGTACTGGGAATGTACCTTAGTGTGAAGATCTTGCGTTTTAGTCCTGCTTCTTGGGGGGGAAAGTATGATTCTATGAAAAATATTTTTGTGTAATTTTTTTTTGGTACTGGGGATCGCACTGTCGACCTCGCACTTGACAGGCAGGTGCTTACACCTGGTAGGCTAAATCCTAGGCCTTGTTATGATGCTTAGCATTTGGCTTTTTTTCCAGGCTTTTGGAATTTTCACTAACAATTTGAGAAGCTTTTCAGCACTTTTTGAACTCCTTTTTAATCACGCGCCACCCCCACCCAGCCTCAGGCTCCCAGAGTGCTGGCTTACAGGCACATTCCCAGGAAATCATGCACTATGCACTTTAAATGGGTGAACTGCCGGGTGTGAGGACACCTCTGTAATCTCAGCACTCAGGAGGCTGCTGGCCTGGGCTACAGAGTGAGTTCAAAGCTAGCTTATACTACATAGTGAGACTCTGCTTCAAAACACCAAACCAAACAAACAAGACACATAAACGGGTAACCAAAAAAAAGATGAACTACAGCTCAGTAAAGTTACACACAGAAAAGCCTTTTTAAAGAACAGCCGCGGCCTAGTAGGAGGGCGGTCCCCGGGGGCGGCCCCAGCCCTACCCCTTCCTCGGGGCGGGCCTTGGCCACAGGCGGTGCACAGCCAAAACAAACTCGGCCCCGCCCTGCAGGCCGCGCGCGGCCAGCGCCGTGCCGAACCAGTGCCGAGCCGAGCCGGGCCGAGCCGAGCCGAGCCGGGCCGAGCCGAGCCGGGCCGAGCCGAACTAAGCCGAGCCGGGCCGGGCAAGCCCGGCTTCCAAAGGCGGCATCGACCGCTCGCCCTGGAACGCTCAGCCAGGTCCGGTCCCGGTCCCGGTCCCGGTCCCCGTCCCCGTCCCCGTCCCCGTCCCCGCCGCCCGGCCGTCCGCGCAGCCTGCTCCCCGCCGCCAGCCGGCCCGGACTCAGAGGCACCGGAGCAGCAGCGGAACAGCACAGGACGCTCGGCGCGCCACCTGGGCAACGCAGACCCCGCGACCCGCTCCGCGCCGCCCTCACCGCGGTAGTGCGCCTGGAAGCCGCCAGGATGCAGCGCCGGGAACAGGGCTGCCACGCGGCACAGCAGCTGTTCGCAGGCCCCAGGGCCCGCCGCCGCCGCCTCAGCCTCCACCTGAGAGTCCAGGCTAAAGCGGAAGCTGAAGCGTCGGATCTCGCGCGCCGCGCCCTCCTTGCCCAGCAGATAGGCCTTCACAGTAAGCGACGCCATGACGAGCTCGGAGCACAGCGGGACGGCGACTGTGCCGCGCGCGCCGCTTTTATGGAAACGCGAAACTCCGCCCCTCTGTTTGGGGGCGTGGCCTCCTGCTGCCTTGCCCCGCCTCCCGGACCGCGCCGCGTGACCCGCGCTGACTGGGCTCCTTGCACTACGCCCCCTCCTCAGCGCCGCCCCCAAGGTCGCCGGGGGCCCCTTGGTGCCAGCCCGGACCTGCGCTAGCCCCCAGACCCATACACCCCTAGCCCGGCTCAGCCCCGCCCTCGGGCGCGGGGACCCTCGCAGGCTTCGGCCTGGCCGTGACTCAGCAGTCAGTCCTCAGGCCCAGCATGGGGGGGGGGGGGACTGCGAACGACAACTGGGGTTCCGGCTCTGCGGCAGCGCCCGTGGGCTTCCTGCGCAGGCCGGGGTCACCGGGAGCTCGGTGGGCAGGTGCGGGCTCCCAAGCTGCTGGCTTCGCTGCCAGCCAGGGCCTCAAACCACCAGCGCCGCAGAACCACCCGTCTGCCGGGCTGGAGGAAGGGGTGCGGGCCGCGTGGAAGGCTGCGGGTGACACCAGGGGGCCGCCCGGGTCGCTCCCGCGACTGCGGCGGTGGGGTTTGTGGGGGCCGAGAAAGCGCTGGAGCTGGGGAAGCCGAGATGAAGGGAAGGGTGGCTGGGCTCCCTCCCCGAAGGCTCCAGAGCAGCCAGAGCACATGGCAGAGCCCAGATAAGACCTCATCCAGCTGGGAAGCCAGAAAAACATCCCCTTCCTGCACACAGGGTCGGGACGGTAGGCCAAGCAGAGATGCCTGCAGAGCACAGCTCAGGAGCCTGAGCCCCCAAACCCCTCCAGCTGTCAGCCCCGGACCCCAGCTGGAGGCCCGTTGAGTGGGTGGGGGCCCCAGGAAAGCCCTGGCTCTGGGAACCTGGCTTTCAGGGTGGCTCAAGGGCTCCCCCCCCTGTTGCAGCTACCAGTGACTCTTGATTTACTCACAGCTTGGAGCCTGTCATGGATTTAGGGGAAAAGGTGGAGAGGCTAAGAGAGGCCTGGGGCCTGGAACCAGGGTCCCACAGCTCTAACCCTGGAACAGCTCTCACCCGGCCCCCCAGGCGCCCAACCCTGGGGAACTCCCTGGCAGGGCCCTCTCTGTGGCCTGTGGTCAGGTGGCCCGGCCTTGCCTGCATGAGTCATTGTCCCATGACCACCACCACCACCTAACAGGGGAATCCCCAACTGCCACCATCTCAGCGACAGCTGGCAGGGGTGGGGAGGGGCTGCAGGGGCTCGGAGGTATCTTTGGGGACCCCAGAGCAAAATGAGCTCTCAGAGGACAAGGCTGCCCTAACCAGTTCCCCTGTCCTGCCAGGGTCAGGCCAGCCCCCCAGCTCACTTGTCCTCTGCGCCCCTCTCCAGAGCATGTCTTGGGCACCTCAGGAAGGAGAGGGGGCAGCTTGGCGCCAGAGCAGGGTCAAAGGCTGCATGTGAGGAGACACCTAAGCCAAGCTGGGGCAGGGAGGAGGCTGCACTGACTCCGTCCAGGTGCAGGCAGGCTGAGATCAGAGTGATACCAAAGCTGGTCTGGATGCAGGGATCAGTTCATGCAGAGTTTGGGGACAGATTTATAATTCCAAGGAGTCTGGATGGTTAGTGCAGGTGTGTGGACAGTGCTGGACACTGGCACCAGGGAGGTCATGTGGCCCATCCTAAATCTTTATGGCCATCAGTTCTGCTTGCCCCTGTGTTCCTATTGTTTGTAGGGGGCAGCTCGTGGTTTGGTCTGACACGACATTAAGACCGAGCAGCCTTACCACCTTCCAGCAAGTAACCACCTCCTCTCACCTTTTTTCTTTTCCTTCTAGGATAGTGGGAAATGAACCCGAGGCCTTCACACTGAACTTGCACCTTCAGGCCTTATTTTATCCCACTGGGTGGCTCAGGCTGGCCTCCAACTCACAGGGGTCAGTGGTGTAGCTAGAGTTTGTGCTTTGGGGGATCCTTCAGTTTTTCTACCTCCAGCATACCTGAAAATGTTAACCAGTTTAAAAACAAAGTTAAAATGATGAATATAGAAGAAAGTGTGCCACAGCAGGAAGGTCACTCTTCCTACCGACCCCCCCCCCATGGACATGATCCTCCTGCCTCAGCCTCCCAAATAGCAGAATCACAGGCATGTGTCACCACACCCAACTTTTTTTTTTTTTTTTTTTTTGTACCAAAGATCAAACTCACAACTTTGCATTAGCCAAGCAGGCACTTACACCACTGAGCCAAACACCCAACCCTTGTTTTGGTCTTTTTTGAGATAGTGTCTCATAAATCCCAAAGTTGCCCAGGTTGGCCTGGAACTTTCAATCCCCCTCCCTTATTCTCCCAGAGTACAGGGATTACTGGCAGCCTTGCCCAGGGCTCTTCCCTTGTCCTTCAAATGCCTCAAAAAGCAGGGATTTGGTAGCACACACCTTCGGTTCCACCACTGGGGAGGCTGGGGCAGGAAGTTCCTCTTTGAGTTCAAGGCCAACCTGAACTGCATGGTGAGACCCTGCCTCAAAAGACCACACAAAGAAAATGAAACGGTAGGGGCTGTGGATTTAGCTCAGCAGCATAAGCGCCGGCCTTGCAAGCAGACAGTCATGAGTTCGATCCCCGGTACCGATAAAAAGGAAAAAGACAAAAAAAAAAAAAAAAAAAAAAAAAGAAAAATGAAACGGTCAAGAGTGGGAGGACTTGTAGTACAGCTAGACTTTAGGGGGCTGTGAAATTCACTTTCCTCAGCCCAGCTGAGTCTGGGTAGCACCCTGGAACCAGCCCTACCTAAACTCTCTCCACCCACTTGAGCTCAAGTCATCCTGGGGTTAGAGACTGGGAAATTGTTTACAAAGATCACAGGCAGGCAGATGGGAAGGTCAGGCCCCAGGACAGAGAAAGGACCACACCCGTAAAACCCTGCAAGAGGCAGGAAGCAGGCAGCACAGGGTTCCTGGTCCTCCACACAGGCACCAATCACCTTGGGTGGGGACCAACCTGCCCCACCCTTCAGGAAAAGTCCCTGTCTCCATGCATGCATGCTATGTGACTGGCTTTCTGTCTGATCCCCACTTACTGGGTGTTACCTCAGCCACCGAACTCATCTTACCTGCTGACCACAGTTTAGTCCCTCAGGCCATGCCCACTACCAGGCTCCATTCAGATGGGACTCACCCAGTGCCCAGCCCAATCTGTTTGGCAGCAGCAGCACTGTTCTCAGAGAAAGCCCAACTCAGCACCAGGAAATAGCGGTGTCATAAAGGAGCAGTGCACATCTAAAGACACCCAGAGGTTTACACCAGACGCCCCAGGCCACTGCCTGCCCAGCGCCCAGCTGCCAGGGGGAGCTCTCAGCTCCATGATGTTTGCAAAGAGCTTCTTACCTGCTGCCCCTTGCCTTCTTTCAAGCCCCACCAGGAAGCCAGGCTTCTCTTCCCTCCAGAGGGCCTCCTAACACTGCCTGCCTGCACCCTGGGGCCTCTCTGCCTCCAGTGGTCTCTGCTCACACCTCACAATTCCCACCGGACGCCTGTTACCAAAGCACTTGCAGTCCTATTACAGTCCTGCCCCACCCTGGTACCTGCCTTGCCTCCTGGCTTGCCACCTGGCTCCTCCTTGCCTCTGTAAAACTGCCTCAAGAAGCAGGGCCCCCCAGACCCACTCTGGTTGGGTGGAAACTCTACTCAGTCTAGAGTAGCCCAGAACATTAAGAGAGAGGAGGTAAGAAAAGGTAAGAAAAAGACAAGGTAAGAAAAGAGTTTAATGAGGGGATGGAGGGAGTCACCACAAAGAAGGCTGTGGGGGCTCTCTGTGCATGCACAAAGGGCAGGCTCTGCCTGCTATAGGCTCTGATGGGGGAAGGGCTCTGGGTACTGATGTGAGCTGATTTATTTTGTGAGAGTGAGGGGATTGGGTAAACCTTTACATGCCTGAACTTTGGCACAGACTTTTGGGAGAGAGAAGCCATAGGGGCTTCTGGGAAGAAGGAGGTGTACATTATTAGGGCACAGCTTTGAACCGTGCTGTCCAACAGGGGTGGGGTGGGGAATCCAGGATCTCCTTCTGTCTCTCTGACACAGTTCTCTTCCTCTCAATAAATTCTTCCTGCTCTTAACCTCCATTGCTCCTAAAATTCATTCTTTGACTTTAGAGAACACAACCTTGGCGTAGCAGGCACCCAGCAGGTTGCAAGTTTATTTCTCTCACACTTCGGAGCCAGTGGAGGCCTGTATCACACTCCCTGCATCACTGGGCTCATTCTGTGTAAACTTGGACCAAAGAAATTCGCTCCTTCCTTTTCTGTCTTGCTCTTGAGCTCAAAAGCCTGATTTGCATAGCTCACAGTGTCACCCCGGCACTATTTCTTTTCTTTTTCTATTTTTTTTCACGTCAGACAGGAAACCTGCCGGCATGGTAGCAAGGTCTGAGGGAGGCACAGCTCACGCATGTAGCATAAACACACAGTCATTACGCTCATGAGCCGAAGGATCGTCAGCACCGACTGTGTTTGTGACTTTCAGTAAAGGTACTTTGAAGGGAGGTAGCACCTGCCTGGCAAGTGCAAGGTCCTGAGTTCAATTCCTGGTACAAAAAAAAGAAAAATTGAAGGGCGGCTGAGACAGGAGGTTCACTATGAGTTCAAGGTCAACCTGAATTACAGCGTGAGACCCTGCCTCAAAAAAAAAAAAAAAAAAAAGCTGGGATTTAGCTCAGCAGCACAGGCACCTGCCTGGACAGCACAAGGTGGTGAGTTGGATCCCTGCTACCTAAGTGAATAAATAAAAATGTAAAGCGCACATAGCTGCTTTTCCGTCCTCATCAAGTGTGCCCTGTGCCATTCTTTGCTTGCTGTCCACAAGAGCGTGGAGTCTGCGTGTCCCATCGGGTCCACCACGCTCAGGCTGCGTGGCCTGGCTGCCCCGCCTGGGCCTGGAGCCGACCTGGGTCCTGGAGGAGACACGGCGGACAGAAGACCTGAATGTGGAGCTTGGAGCCGCGGGGTGGCCGTGACCTCCGATTCTTCAGCCTTTGCTGTGTTGTCACCATCTCCCATCCGCGCCCCAAATGGTTTTCCAAGGTCTAGCTGCTGTCCCTGGATGTGAGTGTTGAGTGCTGGGGCAGCCAGGGAGAGGTCGCCGTGAGGAGTCGAAGCTCGCGGGGCACAGCAGCCAACCCCCACCCCAGCCCCGGGCGTCGCCTAGTCCCTGGGGAGAGCGGGCAGGGCTGGGGCAGCGGGGCAACGCGGTCTCGGGGGTGCGAGAAGCCGGCCGCGGGGGGACGCGGGGCGGAGCGGGGACCCAGCCGGCCAGCAGGTGGCGCCGGCGGGAGGCGGCGGGCACGGCCTGAGGGGTCTCCTGCAGGTCCCGCGCGGTGGGGTCCCCCAGGGAGACGGCGCCCCTCCCCCGCTTCTTGGAGGCATACGCCCCGCTTGACCTCAAGCACCCAGATCTCCCGCCCAGGCCCCTGCTCACCCCATCGCTAGGGCCGCCCGCCCCCTCTCGCGTGGGCTGCTTGGGGCTTGGCTCCCCCAAGGGGTGGGGGTGGGGTGGGGGGGGTTGTGCAAGTGTTGGACAACTGCCCACAAAGGCCTGCGGTCGTCCCTGCAACTGCGACAGAAACAGGAGAAATTACAGAAGGCCAAAGCTCGCCACAAGGCCCCAACAGCCAAATGGAGTCGTCCTGCTAGACTCAGAAAACTGAACTAAGTTCTAACCCAGAAAGCAGGAGAGTGGGGTTTCCTGTCAGCTGGGGATGGAAGCTGGGGGCCTGGAGAGCCTCCACTGCTCCAAAGCGGCCAAATGCACCCCGCGCTCTGGCGCTCAGATCAACAGGTTTCAGGCCGGCAGATTCCTGCATTCGTGTAACCCTCAGCAGCAGATCGTTTTAACGTCCGGGGCTCCGCCCTAAGCTGCCGGCCTCGCGGTTCCTATCTGCTGCCTCAGCCGCTAGTAGGTCACCTACTCCTGGTTTCAGAAGGCCGATTCTTTCCACTTACTACACACACACACACACACACACACACACATACACACACGTGTGTGTGTGTGTGTGTGTGTGCACTAACCTCAGGTAACCCAGTGCTAACTAGTTATTTTCCTATTGTTCTGTCTCCCGCCCCGCCTTGTGAGGAAAGTCACTGAGGTGTCCAGTTTGCCCCTTGTCCTGCTTCTGCTTTCTCTAGCTCTCCTCCCTCACGCCTACCCCTCTGCCCCATCACCCAAATACCTACTGGCCTCCTGGAATGGCTTGCATATTGCCTGATTTTGGAACCACAAATAATGCCAAATGTCATCTTTACCTGGGCTGCAATTTCCTTCTGTGATGGTCATAGTTGGTGGCCCCACTCCAAAGCAGGCTGGCACCTGTCACCCTCGGCTCTGTGCCACAGGAGCTGGGCTCTGGGGCTCAGGCACACAGGTCCCCAGGAAGCAGGAGCATGCCAAGGAGCTGGCCCCACTGGTCATCAACCAAAGCATGGGGATCCCTGTGGGCCTGAGCTATGGCAACTGCATTTTGAGTTGTTAATTATCTAACAGCTCTGACCACCCTCTCCTGAGCCCCATGCCACCTCTGAGGTTCTGGACTGCAGTGCAGCTACAGGAGGAGAGAAACCCAGCACCTGGTGGTCCAGACATAGCTGCCCCTGGGAACAGCAGCTCTGAATACTCACTCTGAATGCTCGCTGGTACCTCTGTGGGGAAGCATTCTGAGTGCTGTACATATACTCACTCACCTGCTCCTTTGGGGACACCTCGGCTTCATTCTGACCAAGAATCTGGGACAAAAAAGCCAGGGACTGCAAAGCCAGAACGTGTTGTTATTCACCAGTGCTAGTTTGAAGAGTTCTCCTTCCCTTGCCAAGGAACCCTGCAATGTTCAGGTGGTCATTCCTGTGAAGCACACAGCTGGCCATGTGTGTGGCCCACGCCTGTAGTACCGGCCCTCTGGTAGCTGAGGCAGGAGGATGGTAAATTTGAGCCCAACCCAAGCAACTTAGCAACTTAGTGAGACCTGTCTCAAAATATATGAACAGGCCTGGGAATGCAGCACCACTGAAGACCCTGGATTCACTCCCCAGTACAGAAAGGGGTGCAGCTCAGGGGCACAGTATTAGCCCAGGACATGTGGCCGGAGTTCAATCCCAACACCATGCACACAGTTACTGCAGCACAGCCAAGCTTGGTCAGACTACCATCCCCACCCCCTGCTCCTCAGTGGAGGAGGCAGTACTGTGAACTCAGAAGCGCAGGTCTCCTTCCCGCCCCATTTCTGGAAGCCTTGCTAGGTGGCCTTGTCAGAAAAGCAACTGTTTGTTTGCTTTGGTCTTTTTGGACAGGGTTTTGCTACACAGTTCAGGCTGGCCTGGATGGAACTCAGTGATCCTCCTGCCTCAGCCTCCCCAGTGCTAGGATTACAGGTGTGGGCCACATTCAGCCTAAAAAGCAGTTTTTTCCCTCTGCTTTCTTAGGTTGAGTACTGGAGGTTGGTGGTTTAAACAGGTAAAATAGATTAGCAGGGCTGGGGATTTAGCTCAGCGGCATAAGCACCTGCCTTGCAAGCAGGCGGTCGTGAGTTCGATCCCCGGTACTGATAAAAAACGAAAAAGACAACAACAAAAAAAAAACAGATTAGCAAGAGAACAGAGAAACATTTTATTCTTATACAAAGCAGTTAGGAATTGAAAGCTCATGTACCAAGTTAATACAAGAAGGAAGCCAAGAGTGGTGGAACAAACCTGTAATCCCAATGGTGGGGAGGCTGAGGCAGGAAGGTCACTGCAAATGCGATGCCAGCCCTGAGCTCTACAGTGAGTTCAAGGCCAGCATGAGCTATACAAGGAGACTCTGTCTCAAAAAACAAACATACAGGAAAGAGAAGAGGAAAGGGGAAATTACAAAAAAAAACTAATGACTTTTAGGAAAGATGATGTGATTTGTGACATTTCATTTTGTGAGGATGTCTGGGAGGTGACACCAGTAATTCTAGCACTTCCAGAGGCTGAGGCAGAAGGATCACCATAAGTTCAAGTGAAGTTCACTTTGGGCTACACGGTGAGACCCTGTCTCAAAAAAAGAAAAAGCAAAGAAAGAGTCGGTCTTTTCTGGCTGCTGCCATGGAATGTATTTATGACAATGGAGTTCTTTTGCAAGACTGATTTTAGGCCCCTAAAAGAGTTCTTGTAAAAAGCACCTCTCAAATCCCTTGAGCTCACCATAATGCTTACCATAGTGTTATGAGGTGACAGCACAAACCCTAAAAATGCTATAAGGGAAATATTATAACTCTCAACCTGTCAGAGGTCTGCTACACCAAGTTCATGTCCTCTAAAAGTTGAATGGATTCTAGGAGGGACAGAGAGGTTAAGAGCAAGGAATATTTACCGAGGGTTGCCGGGGGACCCCACTTTACAGGGAAATTTTATTCTTTTTATCGGTACCAGGGATCAAACTCACAACTGCCTGCTTGCAAGGCGGTGCTTATGCTGCTGAGCTAAATCCCCAGCCCTTTACAGGGAAATTGTATAGAGCAGTATCCACATGGTTAGAGCTCTCATTGACCAGTAAGGGTATGAGGGGCCTCACTCAGGTAACAGAGATCCAACCAGGAAACGAGAAGCAACGGTGCACGAAAGAACACAGACTTCATCCAGGAAAGGAGGGCTTGGTCACCCACTGGGTGACTGACTGCTGTCCATGGAGGCCTCATTCGGCCTGGCATCTGTCCTTCCAGTAAATACACAGGCCTGGTCCTCTTTCCTTATGTGTCACCTCTGTCCTGCTCTCTCGAGGGCCTTGCCCTCTCCGATGCCCACAGTATTTCTGCCTGTCTTCGCTGTCTGTAAGAACAGAATGCGGCCTTTGTCCACGGCAGCCCCTCCTCCTCCAGCCTGCTGCCTGCCCAGGAGCCGGTTTACAGTGCAAACACAGGGCTGGTCCTCATGGTCTTCTGGCTCTCACGCTGGTCTGACCAGAGGGGAAAGCTGGACCCTGGGGCAAGATTCAAGGCTACACGTCCTCATGTCGCCCTCAGCGCCCGACCATGGGCATCTGCACATGTGCATGTCCCTTGCCTGGCCTCAGCGGCCTCCTCGTCCGGGGGTCCTGCCACTGCACATGTCCCCAGGAAAGCCCTGGAGCTTTCCAGGCCCGGGGACCTTGGCTTTCCTGCACCAAGGCTGGGTGGGTTCGGACAGGGCGGGGACCCGGTCAGGGTCACAGCCAGAGCTGCAGGTCCCAGTGACTGGAGTGTGTCTGTGACATGGATCTACAGAACACTGATGACCCAAAGGCAGCGGGCTTGGGGCACCCTTAGGGCAGGGCTTCCGGGTTTCACCCTGAGGCTTGGAGGAAAAGGCGGGTCTTTGCTGAGATGCACTAGATTAGAAAAAAATATTGAAACACAGATGTCACAACACACAAGTGCAGTGGAAATATGGAAGTACCTGAGCCTTTATTAACTTACTAAACCAGCAGGCCTGATAAGCACCAGAAATACGAAGTTACTAACGTGAGTTTAACAGCTATTCTAAAGCACCTGCCATGGTAGGATCCCTGTGACTTCTGCTGGGATACAGGCAGAGACTGGAAACTATAGACTTTGCTGCTTCCCTGCCTAATCGAAGAGTGTGTCGGGTTTCAGTAAGACGTCAGTGAGAACACAGATGGATTTCCCTCAGCTCAGCCCTCGCTCCTTTCCAGGACCAGGCCCCTCGACCACATTTAAGGTCACCTCCAAGGGCTGCCCCAGCACATGAGCAGGAGCAAAGTGGGCAGAGGCCCGGGCAGTGATGGCAATTCGAAAGGGCACCTACCCTGTGTGGGAAGCAGGAAGAAGGGCAGCACCCCAGGCGCCAGGTTCAGGGACAGAGCCATTGTTTCCCCTCGGGGGAGGCCGGATTTGGTCCTCAGGCAGCAGGACCTGAACATGGGTGCAGGAGTAACAGAAAGACCTGGGAGAGCCGGAGGGAGCCTGTCTAGGCACAGAGGCGGGGATTAATTAATTACTACAGGGGCACAGAGCAGTGGAAAGTGGGGAAGGAGCCAGGTACCATGGCCAGCTTCTTGGGGAAGAGGCTGGGCCACAGCCTTGGCCTGGTTTTTATTTTTTGGTACCAGGGATCAAACTCATGACCTCATGCTCACCAGGCAGGCCCTTATGCCACTGAGCTAAATCCCCAGGCGACCCCCCCCCTCCCGGTTTTGACATGGCTGCAGGGCCTGCACCACCAGACCTGGGGCAGGAATTAGGTGGAACTGGCTCTTCCTCTGCTCCAAGGTACCCTGCAGGGGAACAGGACTCAGACACAGACAACCCGGTCCCCTTCATTTTCGATGGCTTAATAGTAGTTTTCTTTACATCCGCTCACATTTAAACTTAACTTGCTTTTGGGGTGTGGGGTGTTTGGGGTTTGCGTCTGGGGCTTCAACATGGGCCTCGTGCATTAGAAGTGCTGTAGCTGAACTACATCTCCTACCAGTACATTTACTCTTATTATTTATTTATTTACTTACTTATTTTTTTACTTTTTGAGACAGGGTTTCACCTGCAGTTCAGGATGGCCTCAAACTCCCAGCAATCCTCTTGCCTCAGCCTCCCCAGTGCTAGGATTACCAACATGGGCCATCATGACCGGCTTACTCTTATTTTTAAAATTAAGAGTCTATAGTAGCCAAAACAAAAAGCCATTATCCTGACATAAATAGAAGCAGTCTGAGAAAACACATGGACACAGGAACACAATGGTTGCCTGCAGCAAATCCCACAGAGAACAGCGAGAGGGAGCCCAGCCGCCTGTGCCTTCCAGGGCGGGATGAGCCTTGAGGCTGTGTCCCCGCACGGAGCCCACCGGGCAGCAGGCGCCCAGCCGGGCCCGCGTGGCCTGGGCGGGATGGGAAGGCAGAGGTCTGCAGACCTCGCCACGCGCGGGAGGGTAGTAAGGGCGCGGGCGGGAACCCGGCTCAGAACCGTGGCACGGCCACGCGGGGTCGTGAGCAGGGCCCGGCCCGGCTGCCTGCAGAGGCCAGAAAGCACGCGGCGAGGCCAGGCACGAAGGACGAGTGCGGCCCGTGGGCCCCGCACCACCGGCCCCGCGCGCCTCGCCCACGCCGGCGCCGACCCTCTAGACCCGCTCGGGCCGGGTGTCCAGGGTCCGCGGGAAAACCTGGGCGGCCCGGTTCTGGGGTTGCAGCGTGCGATGCTACGGGAAGAAGCCTCGGGGCGCCTCCAGGTCCACCAGGGCCTCGGGCGCCGCCCCGCCCCTCGCGGCCGCGGATGTGCGGCCCCTTTAAATCCGCGTGCCCCGCCCCGCCCCGCCCCGCGCCGCGACTCCGCCGCGTCCGGTCGGCCCCGCACCCGGCCCGCGCGACCCCGCAACGTCCGGTGCCCGCCCGCGCCCCCAGCACCGCCCGGCCCCGGGCCGCGCCCGCGCTTCCCGCCCCGGGGCCGGGCCCCGGCGCCCCTCTGCCCCCGCCGCCCGGGCCATGCGGCCTCGGGGAGATGAGGCTCCGCCACGGCACCTTCCTGTCGCTGCTGCTCTGCTGCCTGTGCGCCTTCCTCTCGCTGTCCTGGTACGCGGCGCTCGGCGGCCAGAAAGGTGAGCCCGGCGGGAGATCGCATCGCTGCGGAGGACCGGGCGCGCCCGTGGAGGCCTCGGAGCCCCGCCCGCCGGCCAGGAGGCACCGGAGCGGCGGCGCCTGCCTTCCTTCCTGCCGCCGCCTCCGGCCCCAGCGCCCGGCGAGGGGCGCGCCTTGCGTGTGTCCGGGTCGGGAGGAGGCCCGGCCGGCCGTGGGGTCCTCGAGCCAGGTCCCCCGAGCACAGACCCGGGCCTGCGCGCAGGGAGAGCGGCCTGAGGCGAGCTGGCTGGGAGGCCGAGGCTGAGCGGGGCGCCGCCTTCCGCACCCTCCCGGGCCGAGCGCGGGTTTCCAGTGCTTTGCGAACGCAGTCCAGACCGACGCGACCGGACCGACGCTGGGACAGCGGCTTCCCTAGGAGGAGGCACGCTGAGGCCTGGGTACCCAGGTACCCGTGGTTGGCGATTTGGGCCGGCTTCATATTCGAGGGGGCCCAGGGGAGCCGGGTCTTCGGAGGCAAACAAGGCCAGCGGCGTGCGCTGGACCGGGAGCCCTTTTCTTACTGCATGCCGAGAATCCGACTGATCCTGCAGCCAGGCCAGGCTCTCCCGGTTTGAAGCCAGATTAGATATGGCCTTCCAGTTTCCAGCGGATGTGGGGCACGGAAAAGGGACCTGCCCTGAGAGGAAGGCACAGAAACAGGAATCTGCAGGGAAGGAAGAAGAGGGTCAAGGGAACCGGAGAGGAAGGGGACCCCGAGCAGGGCTTCCTGGAAGGCTGAGGTCAGGTCCAGGATGGAGCCAAAGCAAGTTTGGGCCCGGCTTCCCTTGGAACCTTGACTGCGACTATGCAGAGCTCTTGGGGCCCACCAGGCAACTGCTGGAGACCCATTCCTCAGGGAGTGGGGAGCCTGGCCTCGCCCCCACCCTGCCCAGCACCCGACAATCCCTCCTGGGAAATTGCAGCCAGCAAGCAAGCAAGCACACAGCTGCCAGCGTCTGTGCCCTCACTGCACTTTGGCCTGACCTGGCATTGAGCCTGTTTTCTCCTCCCTAAGAGCTGGGCACAAGAGTTGTGCCCCACTTTGGCTCTGGAATCTGTTTTGTCAACCAAGAGCCAACCAGGTGGAATGCTGTGGTTTGAGGGCCTCAGGGTTTCCTGACTTCTCTGCCTCCAGGGAGAGTGAGAAACCTCCAGAGTCTACTGCTGCTAGCTGTGTGCCAGCTGCAGGCCTCCGGGGCCAGTCCCTGCGGTGTCCAGGGGAGGAAAAGCAGAGTACCCAGCTTCAGCTGAGGGTACCTCTGGCCCACCTTGCTCGGCCCACCCAAGAGCAAGTGAAGGTGGTGGTACCCAGTGAATAAGGCAGGCACAGAGCTCAGGGTTCTGGCACTAGTGGTCCCACCCACAGTCAGAGAAGTCGGGGATGAAGGTGAGCTTGGATCTTATAGGTGGCAGCAGGTCAGGCAGGGCTGGAGCAGAGGCAAGCTGCTAAGGGACAAGGGACAGAAGGCTTGGAGTGGGCAGGACCCAAGTCCAGAAGCCCATTGCCTGCTGGTAAGCAAATGTTCAAGACCTGGCAGAGGACTTAAGTCCCGGAGGAAGGGAGGCCATGATAGGAACCTGAGCCCAGGGAGATGCAGGATGTCCTACTGGACAGTCCGGCAGGACACAGAGCTTCTTCGCCTACTGGAGGAGCAGGAGTGGTCAGGATGGAGCCCTGCCCGCCTCTCCCTTCTGTGGTTACTCCTGGAGGGGCTGCTGTAGTGGAGCAAGTGGCACAAGGCTGCCCATAGGTCCACTGCCCAGGATGACTGTGTCTAGGTGGGGAAGCACCTGCCTCACTCCCTGTCAGCAGCTGCCAAGAAGGAGGCTCCCTGTACTTCAGCACTGCCCCACCGATATGTGCTGGGGTGCTGGGCCGCCAGCCCTGCAGTGGCCAGCTCTTCCTTCCAGGGGTCAGGTTTCTGGGCCCAGGCAGCTTCAGGGATCTAATAGCTGGAACCCACCACCACCCCCAGCTCCTTGTGGTCTGGGGCTTTAGCCCTGGTGCAATGGGTGTAGGGCATCTGGGCCACAAAGCTGTTCATACAGGAGGTGTCTGGGGAAGGGTCCACTTGGTTCTGCACTCTCCCCCCAGTGCCTCCTCCCTCCAGGTGACTTAGTGCTTAGACTTCTAGGTGCTGCAGGAGTCCTGTTGGAAATGGCCAAACTTGGCCTAGATCCTCACCTTCAGGGAAGTGGGATGTATGCCCACAGGGGGTCCAGGGACCAAGAGCTGACAAGTGGGAAGGAGGTGCTGCAAACCCCTGCACTGCAGGCTTGAAGGCTGTATCTGCTTTAATTAGGCCCTGAAGACAGAAGGGGAATCTGGGCAAGGCAGGGGCAGACACTGCCTGGGGCAGAGGAAGGGCCAGGAGCCAGCTAATAGGCCTGGCATGTCCCAGGGGGAGTTATCCAAAGGGCTGTGCAGGCAGGTGCCTGGCTCCCCAGGGAGCCCTCCCCACCCTGATACCCTGGCTTAGCTTGGGTGCAGCTGTTCTGAAGGGAGCCAGGGCAGGGGTATGCCAGGGAAGCCCTGTGATGGGCAGGCAGAGCCAGGCTTGCTGGTGCACTCTTACAGTCCCAGCACTCTGAGACAGGCAGGAGGACCACTGTTAAGAGCTCCAGGCCAGCCTGAACATCATATCGAGATACTGTAAAAAAAACAAAACAAAACCAGAAGGCCCAGGCCTGACAGTCTCCAGGGTTTTCCTTTAGGGGCTTGCTGTTCCTGGGTTGAGCAAACTCTGGGCTAGATTCTCAGCTGTCTGCTAATCCCAGCGTCTGATCAAGGAAATAGGACAGGTGGGGACAGGAGCCCAGACCACAGGGGACAGGCAGGCATCTGGGGACGGCGTCACTGACTGCACCTGGTGCAATGGGACTTGGAGGGTAGGGCTCGGGGCAGCCCTTGGAAGTGAGGCCAAGCTCTTGTTTTCTGGCTGGAACCTCAGCAGCATGATCCGGGAAAACCATGTTTCAGGAGCCAGGGCGGGTGGGGCTGGGGGTACCCCGCCTGGGATAAAGTAATTCTGTAGCCACCTGCAAGGACGAAATGTTAGGCTGGGAGGAGAGGGCCAGAGCACGGAGGGCTGATCCCCTGCCGGGCTCTTCCTGCCACGCCTCTGTCAGGGCGGTTTCCTCCTGACCCTGACATAGCCCAGGTGGCGCCCTGGGTGTAGGGCGGCAGCGGGTCTGCTCGCTGGCGCCCTCTGCTGACGGCGGTGTGCGGCCCGCAGGGGACACGGTGGACATTTACCAGCGTGAGTTCCTGGCGCTGCGTGATCGCCTGCACGCGGCGGAGCAGGAGAGCCTTAAGCGCTCCAAGGAGCTCAACCTGGTGCTGGACGAAATCAAGAGGGCTGTGTCAGAGAGGCAGGCGCTGCGGGACGGCGAGGGCAACCGTACCTGGGGCCGCCTGGCAGGTGAGCGGTGGGCGGGTGAGCCCCTCTGCGGCCACCCAGCCGCCCTGACCCCGGCCTGACCCCTGTGCTCCACCCCAGAAGACCCCCGGCTGAAGCCCTGGAACGGCTCCCACCGCCACGTGCTGCACCTGCCCACTGTCTTCCACCACCTGCCGCACCTGCTGGCCAAGGAAAGCAGCCTGCAGCCGGCCATCCGCGTGGGCCAGGGCCGCACCGGAGGTAGGGGAGGTGGGCAGCGGGTGGCGAGGCGACCCCCGGGATTCCACGCACCTCTTAGCACCCTGCATCCCCACAGTGTCAGTAGTGATGGGCATCCCCAGCGTGCGGCGGGAGGTGCACTCCTACCTGACAGACACACTGCACTCCCTCATCTCCGAGCTGAGCCCACAGGAGAAGGAGGACTCGGTCATCGTGGTGCTGATCGCTGAGGCGAGTGCGAGCGGGGAGGATATGGGGGTGCAGGGCAGCCAGGAGAAAGGAAAGGCGTTTCAGATATGCTAGCGGAAGCATGGTTGGGGTGTCCTCCACAAGCTTAGGAGCCCCTCGTGGAGTAACTGGTACTGGGTCCATTCACCAATTCTGCACTGCTGCCGGCTGCAGGCCTCCAAGGCCTGAGTGCCCAGCCTTCCTCGACCCTTACAGCGGAGGAGCAGTCCCTCCACACTGGGGATCCCAGTGCCTGCAGCCTCCACTCCCCTCCTTCCCCTGGGCCATGACGGGTGCGGCTCACAGGGTGCCTGGTCTTCCCGCAGACTGACCCTCAGTACACGGCTGCAGTATCAGAGAACATCAAGGCCTTGTGAGTCCTGCACCCAGAGCTAGAGGAAGGGCTGTGGGCGGGACCCCGCCTGAGCCTGAGAGAAAAGCAGAGTGACCTCCTTTCTGCCTGGGGGTGGCCCTTGGGACCTGGTTACTGGGGGCTCCCTTTACCCCTGGAGGCTGCCACCCACCGAGCCTTCCTGCTACCTCCCAGGTTCCCCACAGAGATCCATTCCGGGCTCCTGGAGGTCATCTCCCCTTCCCCCCACTTCTACCCAGACTTCTCCCGACTGCGAGAGTCCTTCGGGGACCCCAAGGAGAGAGTCAGGTATTTACCCTTGTCATGCCTAGCAGCTGGCCACCTGTGCTGAGCAGCCAGCGGGGGGTGCCTGGCCCCGGCTGCCTACCAGTCTCCAGCCCCAGTGCTGAGGCCCTTGTGCCCTCCACAGGTGGAGGACCAAACAGAACCTCGACTACTGCTTCCTCATGATGTATGCGCAGTCCAAAGGCATCTACTATGTTCAGGTCAGCCCCAGGCTTGTTCAGGGCCTGCTGCCTTCGCTCTGCTCAGCCCTGCCCAGTGTGCGTCCTGACCCTGACCCTTTGCAGCTGGAAGATGACATTGTAGCCAAGCCCAACTACCTGAGCACCATGAAAAACTTCGCCCTGCAGCAGCCCTCGGAGGACTGGATGATCCTGGAGTTCTCACAGCTGGGCTTCATCGGTGCGCGCTCACCCCCCATAGCCTGGCCAACCTCTCCACTGACAGGCTGCCCCAGTACCGGGCCATCTGCGAGCCTAGAGCCCCTGCATGGCATCTGGGCCATCTCTGCCTGCCCCCTGTGGCTCCCCCTGCCAAAAGCCCACCAGCGGCTTGGCTGAGGGAGGAAGAGGGACATGGCAGGCTTCCCACTAGCACCCTTCCACTCCCCTGCCCAGGGAAGATGTTCAAGTCCCTGGACCTGAGCCTCATCGTGGAGTTCATCCTCATGTTCTACCGGGACAAACCCATCGACTGGCTCCTCGACCACATTCTGTGGGTGAAGGTCTGCAACCCCGAGAAGGACGCGGTGAGTGGGGCCGAAAAGGTCTGGGGAAGGTGGTCCAGCACAGCCATGGCCTTGCCCACACCTGCACATCTGAGCGTGAGGAGTGGGCTGCAGGAAGCCCTGACTGTCGCCAGGTGTCCCCGCCTCCCTTCACAGAAGCACTGTGACCGGCAGAAGGCCAATCTACGGATCCGCTTCAAGCCCTCGCTCTTCCAGCACGTGGGCACCCACTCCTCCCTGGCTGGCAAAATCCAGAAGCTGAAGGTGGGCCGCCTCCTGCTTCCTGCTGGGCCAGGCAGGGACGAGAGGGGGAGGCCAGGGGCTGACCTCCTTTGACCTGCGGTGCAGGACAAGGACTTCGGGAAGCAGGCGCTGCGGAAGGAGCACGTGAACCCACCTGCCGAGGTGAGCACCAGCCTCAAGACATACCAGCACTTCACCCTGGAGAAGGCCTACCTGCGAGAGGACTTCTTCTGGGCCTTCACGCCGGCTGCCGGGGACTTCATCCGCTTCCGCTTCTTTCAGCCCCTACGCCTTGAGCGGTCAGTGCCCTACGCAGCAGCAGGGCGCCTGGGGAAGGGCAGCGTGGCCAGGGGCACGGGCTCAGCACTGGCATCTGGACCTGGGGTTCTTCCCTGAGACCCCAAGTTCCTTACTGAAAAGTGGGGCTCACAGTGAAACACTGTGAGCATCGCATCAGGCAGGCCCCTGGGTGCCCTGCGATGTCTGTTGCCATTGTCCCAGGAAGAGGCCCATCCTCGGCCAAGCCTCTGGGGGCCCACCTGGCGCTCCCATAGGCCTTGTGCAGAGCTGCAGGCCTGGCAGCAGCTCACCGCCTGCCGGCCGTGTGCAGCTTCTTCTTCCGCAGTGGGAACATCGAGCACCCAGAGGACAAGCTCTTCAACACGTCGGTCGAGGTGCTGCCCTTCGATGTGAGTGTGGCAGGGCATGGGCGAGGGCATGGGCATGCCCCAGCTCTCGTGCCACCGGCTGCAGTCTTTGGTTTGGCCCCCAGAACCCTCAGTCGGAGAAAGAGGCCCTCCAGGAGGGGCACTCGGCCACTCTGCGGTACCCACGAAGCCCAGACGGCTACTTGCAGATAGGTGAGCGTTGCAGGGCCCAGTGGGTGCATTGTGCAGGGTCAGGTGGGAGCCCAGGCCGCCTGGCCTCTCTGAGCTCCTTGCAACCTCCCTGCAGGCTCTTTCTACAAGGGTGTGGCGGAAGGTGAGGTGGACCCGGCCTTCGGCCCCCTGGAGGCGCTGCGCCTCTCCATCCAAACCGACTCCCCAGTTTGGGTCATTCTGAGCGAGGTGAGCTGGGCACATGCAGGGGAGCCCTGGGGGACCACCATGGCACTCCTGGCCTGCTGACCCAAGCCTGTTCTCCCAGATCTTCCTGAAAAAGGCCGACTGAGGGAGGCTTCCCAGATGTCTGCGCTGCCCCCGGAGGGCCCAGCGCATCCCCGAGGAGGTTCTGCCTGCTGCCGTCCAGCCGGCTGGCCTGGGGTCCACCGCTGGCCCGGTGGCCCCAGGAGCTGGTGCTGCCCCGGCCTGGGCCGCAAGGAGTCTGGCCGCCCCACACTGTGCCTGAGGGCAGGCCCGCGCTGCCCGAACCGAACAGGAACCGATCCCACTCGGATGCCGACCCGGCCAGCCTGGCCAGGCTATTTTAGAGGAGCTTTTCCTTGGGCGCTGCTGTTTCAGGCGCGAACACTGGAATGCATATACTACTTTACGTGCTGTGTTTTTTATTCTTGGATACGTTTGATTTTTCACCTAAGTCCACATATACTTCTATAAGAGTGTGACTTGTAATAAAGGGTTAACGGAAGTGTGTGCCTCTGACCTGCAGCCTGTGAGGGGGACCGGGCGGTGGCCCCCCATCTCCAGCCCCCGCACGTGTGCCTCAGCCCTCAGTCCCTTCGCACGCACGGGCGGCAGCCTTTCCCCCACTGCAGCTGGGCGTCCCGACCGTGGGCGGCGGGGGGAGGCTTTCCGCCTAGGGCCGAGGGTCGGGCGAGCGCGCAGTCCCCAGGCCCCCGCCACGCCCCTGCATTTTTCCCTTGTGCACGTTTGGCCGCCGCCCCCGGGAAGAACGCAGCCAGGGTCAGCTCAGGTAACTTTATTAGAACACAGGCGGAGACGCGGCAGCGGAAACCCTGCCGTGCTCCCCGACGCTCCGGCTCGCCGACCCGCTGTCCTTCGCCTCACGCCGTCCGCAGCAGCGCCCGCAGCAGTCTGAGGAGCGCGGCGCGCGCCGCGGCCGGGAGGAAGTGGGCGAGCAGGCCGAGCGTCGCCAGCGCCAGCAACAGCCAGAGCGCACGCGCGCTCGCGTACAGCGGGGCCAACCTGCAGGCGGCGCCCAGCCTTGGTGCGGCCGCGGGGCGGAGGACGGGGCCCCGCCCACCCGGCCAGGACACGCCCGCCCGCTGTCCCGGTCCCGCCCACGAGGCCCGCGCCCGCCCGCCCGCCCGCGGTTCCGCGAGCCAAGCTGGCCCTCACCTGAGTTGCGCGGAGCGCGCGTAACCCCAAAAGTAGCGGAGGCGCGTGAACAGGTAGACCAGGCCGCACAGGGCCGCGGCGCCTGCGAGGGGCGCAGGGTGAGCGCGCGGGCACGGAGCCCGGCCAGGGCGCGTGCCCTTCCCACCACAAACCTTCGTGGAAGTAGACGCCGGCCACCCACAGCGTGGCGAGAAACAGCGGGAAGTACTCGCTGCAGTTCACCCTGCGGCGGCGGCGAGGGCTGCGGTTGAGATTCCGGGGAGGGAGAGAGAGAGGGCCCGCTCCGGCCCATCCCGCTCCCCGGCCTCGCTCCCCCGAGCCTCGGCCTCCCCACCCCCACCCCGGGCGGCCACCGCCTCACTGGGCTCGGTAGACGCGCTCGAACTCGGGCGGGCCGGTCGTGAGCGGCGGCGACACGCGGTGGGCCCTGCGCGCCCTGATCACCTGCAGGGAGAAGTAGGCTGGGGGGGGGGGAAGCCGGGAGTCAGGGGCCGCCTGTCCGCCCTGTGCCTCCCCACGCAGCACGCTGGCCCATGTCACCCTGGAAAGGCAGGGTGAGGCCACCTGACTGTTGGGACCTTACTCCCGGGCCATTTGACTTGCAAAACACGGCAGCTGCCTGGCCTTTCTGGTGCCCTTCGGACCGATTGCCAGGGCCAGGCAGAGAAGCCGGGGAGGCATTGGCTGTGTCCAGGCTGTGTGGGATCCTGTCCGGCTCCCCCAGCCCCGAAAAGTACCCTGTCCCCCCAGCCCACAAGGTGGCAGTTCGATGCTTCCAACTGAGCCCAGGGCAGGTGCAGAGGTAGCCTGGTCTGCGGGCCCACACCCAGCCCTGGCCCTGTCTCCCAGGCACCCGGTGCCAGGTGCCCTGTAAACCCGCCTGCGCCCATGTACCCGGTGGGAGCCCTGCAAGAGCAGGGTCCAGCCAGCCTCTGGCGAGTTGGAGGTCCTGAGGTCAGGCCTCTGCCGGCCACACACTCAGGAACTGTTGCGCCCCATGTCCTGGGGCCAGACTGAGAAAAGAATGGAGCAGATACCATCCCTGGCCCCCGTGTGGGAGGCCGGCAGGCAGTCGGGTATCCTGCGGGGAGGCTGGCAAGGATGGCCCCTCTACAGCTGCATCTAGAGCCCCAGCTGCTGCAGGCTTCTCTGCTGGCCTCAAGGCCACCGCCCTCAGGGCCACACCAGACACCTGGCACACCAAGGCAGTGCTGTGTCCAAACTCCTCCCGGGCGGGACATCCTCTTAGCCTTGCTTCCTACCCAGAGTGCCACTGTGTGCCTGCAGCCAGACATCCAGGGTCTCCCTACCTCCACCCCTCCATGCCCAGGTCCCAGCCCTCAGGGGGTCCCCTCAGGCCCTGGAGAGCCAGGGCTCGCCCACCTGGCTCTGCCCACCAATGTCTGTCGCCAGACCTAGAAAGCAGCATGCAGGTACAGGCATCCAGGAGCCAGCCCACCTTGCAGCAGGACTCCCAGCAGAGTGACTGTAGCCAGGAGAGCCACCTCATCCTTCATGGTGGTGGGCAGCAGGACTGCTACAGTGCTTATCAGCTCGTCTGCTGCTTCGTGCCAGCCCGGAGAGGAACAGTGGCCTCAGTGCCTTCCCCACCCCTTCCCAGTGGAGGGGCGTGACCACTGGGGAGCCCACATAGGCAGGGAGCCTGGCCAGGTCAGGCAGGCGGAAACCAGGGCCGGGACAGCCTGGCCACTTCCACCGAGTCCTTCCTGCTCCATCCATGCCTAGGCCTGTGCCAGCCCACTCCAGCCTCGGAGATGTTGACTACTGTGCTCCCCTCACCTGAGTCTTTAGGCCCTGGTCCCCAGCAGGGCCCTGCTGGCCCTGCAGCTCTGCCTCCATGCTGGGGCTGCTCACAGGCCGTGGGTACCCAGCCCGCTCTGTTTCCTGCCCCAATCTGGATGTTCTGCTCCAGCTGCACTCTCCTGGCTCCCTTAAGCCTCTGGAGGCCACAAGGCCCTGGTCACATTGGGCCTCGCTGCCACAGGCCATGCAGGGAGCTCCTGCCCCTAGGCTTTCTGGCTGATGGGCAGTTCAGCCTGCTGGATGGCTGTGTGAGGCCATCTCTGCTTGCCCACAATGCCACAATTTTGTGTCATTTGAGATGGGCGTCTCACTACGTAGTTCCAGCTGTTCTGGCACTATGTAGCCCAAGCTAGCCCTGAACTTGTAGCAATCCTCCTGCCTCAGCCTCCTGAGAGCTGGGATTGCAGGTGTGTGCTGCCTCTCCCAGGCACCACACCGCTTGGTTCAGAAGAACAGTCATGCCTTTCCAGAGGCTGGGCCCACCTTGTACACAGGCACAGCAGCCTGGACAGACCTGACTCCCACTGCTTCCCGCCCACTGGGAGACTGGTGAACCCGGCAGCCCAGATGGTAAGGACCTAGAGAGCAGGAGACTATACAGGGCTCAGAGGCCACCAATGTGATGTGAACCCCTGCCTGCCCTTTCACTGAAGCTAGGCTGAGGCAGGTTCGGGAAGCAGTGGCCACGTCCAGATTCTGGCCATACTGTGGCTGGAAAGGCCAGGCAACATCACTGCCCCTGGGGGCCACAAGCGCCCAATTTGCCTGATCACAGTGGGGCTCAGCCTGTCAGGTGAGGTGACCTCGGCACTCGGCTCCAGAGGCTTGAAGTCAAGCTGGAGATGGGCGAAGGGCATAGTGAAGGGGCAGTGGCCCACAGGGAGAAGTGAGGCCAGGAGGCAGCGCCGTGGGCTTTCCCTCGGCTCCTTCCCAGAGCTATGCACAAGTGTGTCCATGTCCCAACTGCACAGCCACGGTCTCTGTGCTGTCTGAGCTCACAGTGGGCCCGGGCGTGTCTGGGTGACTGTGGGACTTCAGCCTTCCTTGTGGCCAAACTCACATTTCCGCCGAGGCCTGCACAGCCTCCCGGCCAGCCTCACCCTTCTGCCAGGCAGCAGGAAACAGGCTTGACATGAGCAGCTCCGAGGAAGTCCCTGGCAGATGTCCCGGTCCCTCAGTCCTGCCAGGCTTGGGCGCTCAGGCTGTCAGGAGGGGCCCAAGGCCACCGACACTGGCCACCCCCCTGCATGCTCCTGTTCAGCAAGACACATCAAAAACAGGATGTGTCCTCAGTGCCCTCGGCCTCTGCATGGCCCCAAAGAAGCTTTTGGATACTAAGCTTATCATAAGGACATCTGCAATACAGAAAGGCCAGCAAAAGCAGCAGCAGCAGGACACCTCTTTGGCCCTCAGCGTGAAAATACAAATATATAGTAATGCTTCAGAAGAATTTGCTGTTTGTCACTTTGCTCGAAACTTGAGTTGAAAATCCAATTTAGATCACCTGGGCTGAGAGCAAGTCCCATGTCTCGTCTGGCTGTGGACACCAGGGGGACATAGGGGTGGCTCTGGTGCCTGGGTGCCCTGGCACAGGGCACTGCACTGTCCTGTGTTCAGACTGTCGCACACTACACTTTTTCTGCACTTGAGATTTTTTCTTTGTTTTGGTACTGGCAATTGAATTCAGGACTTCACACTTGCCAGGCAGACACTTGTGCTGCTAAGCTAAACCCCCAGCCCTCTGCACTTTATTGGCAAAAAAATCTCATAACTGTAGCTCCAAAGAAAGTCAGGGATGCCAGCAGTGCAGCTAAAAGGAAAACTGAGACCCACGATAGCTGAAGAAAGAAATTGCAAAATCTGTTAACAGTCCTGGAAAAATGAATTTATCAGTGTAATTTTCGGACCTCAGAACCAGTTGTGCGGCTTCCCATTGATTCTAACGGTCAGTGGTAGAGAGCGAGTGTAAGCACGAGACAGTCAGAGGCTGAACTAAACTGGGTCAGCAGTTGTACACCAAGGGTGGCTCATTGCCTGGACGGTTCAGCAGGGAAGGAGGACCAGAGAGCTCTGGCTTCGCCTTCGCCTTGGACATCATCTCCTGGCTCCAGCACAGACTCTTCGGCTTTTGCCTCAGACCCTTCAGACCTCCTCACAGACCCGGGTGGGACTGTGCAGACTCGGCCTCCGGGTGCAGACTTGCACAGGACACTGGGATGAGCTCCAGACCTCGGATTGAACCCTTCAGCCTCCGGCATGCAGATGCCCTCAGCACACCCCCTCATCTGATGCTGTGGTGACATCCTAAGCTGAGCTTGTAATTCCTCATCCATTTGTACATCTTGTGTTTTATCTGTTTTTTCCAGTAAAACCCTGATACATATGGGAAAAACATGTTCGCTTTTCCGGCTTTTTGGCATTTGAACATGAATTTGGAATGAATTGAATTGGACAAACAAGGTGTCACTGCACATGTATTTATTTTGCAATTACTAGACTTAAAAAAAGAAGTTGAGGGGGCTGGGGATTTAGCTCAGCAGTACAAGCACCTGTCTTGCAAGCAAGGCGGTTGTGAGTTCAATCCCCAGTACCCATTAAAAAAAAAAAAAAGTTGAAAAATGGAGCCGGGACTGGTGGCACATGCCTGTAATCCCAGTGAGATAGGACTTCCCTGTTAGATGTCTGATACTCAGAGTTCATGTTCCCCAAGCCAAAGAATGAATTCTGAGGAACAGCAGAGATTGAGAGTAGGAAATGCCAGGACTGGGGATTTAGCTCAACAGTGTAAAGCACCTGCCTGGCAAGCATGAGGTTGTGAGTTCAATCCAAAGTACAAAAAAAAAAAAAAAAAAAAGAGTAAGAAATACTTATTGAGGGGAGAGATACAGCTCCTGAGAGACAGGAGGGGTCCTGAGTGGGTTGCCAAAGAGCTCACTTCACCAGTGGCAAAATCACAAAGTGGTTACAACATAGGTTAAATCTGGGATCAATAAGATTGTAAGTACAGCCACTAAGGTAAGATCAACCCACTGGGGAAGCAGGTCATGCAACAAGTATGTATAGCAAGAACAAAGAACTTTGGAGGAGTTTTAGGAGGGGATGGGTCCAGGGGTCTGGGTCACCAGGGACTGATGTCTATCTAAACTCCACTGAATCCAGGTGTTAGCACTAATCTTATCCCTTGGGGACACATGGAGGCCTGTTCAATTCTGCTTTTATCTGGAGGCCTGCTCTCCAACAGCTGTGCTTCTGGCCACGGGTATATGTGGGGCATTTTTTTCTACCAGGAATCAAACTCAGGACCTTGCACTTGGCATGCAGGTGCCTGTGTCACTGAGCTATACCCCCAGCCCAAGTATGATATGATTTCACTTTTTTTTTTTTTTTTGGTACGGGTGATCGAACTCACAACCTCGTACTTGCCAGGTATTTATGCCACTGAGCTAAAACCCTGGCCCAATAAGTTTTCATCTTTTGTATTGATTCTCTTGAAGGCCTAGCTCTGTCGGATTGCCTATAATTTAGCTGTATATAATCCTAGTACTTGGGAGGCTGAGGCAGGAGGATTGTTGTGAGATCAGCCTGGGCTACACAGTGAGACCCTGTCTCAAAAAAAAAAAAAAAAAAAAAAATTGAAAAATATGCAGTTCCCATATACTCTTCATGCAGCTTCCTCTGTTAAAGTATTAAATAATACAACCATAGCGCAACTGTCAACTGAGAGATTAACACTGATCTCATATCACCATGCTCTTTTACAATTTTTTTTCTTTCGGTTTCTTGAGTCAGGGTCTCACTGTGTTGCCCAAGTTGGCCTCTAACTCCAGGTGACCCTCCTACCTTAGCCTCCCGAATGCTGGGATGACAGGCATGTGACACCAGTCCTTCCTTCCTCTTTTTGTTCCTTTTTTTTCTCTTTCTCTACCCCATTCCTGTGATTGAACCCCAGGGCCTCTCTCTCTTTTTCTGGGACTGGGGACCCCAGGGCCATCCCCCTTTGAGACAGGGTCTCAGCTTGAGAGACAGCACAATCATCATGGAAACAGCTCAAAACTGGCATGCTAAACCATAATGCCTTCCCCTCCCCTATGGCTTCTTCCTTTCAAAATTCATTGCCAAAGCTCATATGTGTAAAGATTAACCCAATCCCCTGCACTCTCACAAAATAAATCAGCTCCCATCAGTACCCAGAGCCCTTCCCCAGTCAGTGGACAGAACCTGTCCTTTGTGTGCAGAGAGCCCCCACAGCCTTCTTTGTGGTGAATCCCTCCAGGTCCTCGTTAAACTCTTTCTTACCTATTGCCTCCTCTGTTTAATACTCTGTGCTGCAGGGGCTAGGGATTTAGCTCAGTGGCATAAGTGCCTACTTTGTAAGCACATTGTTGTGAGTTCAATCCCTGGTACTGACAAAAAAAATTCTGCGCTGCTCTAGATTAAGTACAAACTTTACACTCAATCAACTGGTGCCATGACTCCAGCAATGGAGGCTGTGCAGCTCCTGGGGGGTCTTCCTCCCCCTTAACACCCCCCCCCCCAGGCTGCAGACCTTTCTCTCTGCTACTCTCTCTGTCTTTCTCTGGGACTGGGGACTCCACCACCTTGCGGTCTCTAGCCAGCATCCATCACCTAACCCCTTGCCCCCTTTCTACTTCAGGATCCCTGGTTGTGCCTCACTGCAGGGTGACGGTTCTCTGCTGATTGACGCCTTCCCTTTCCATGGCTCACCTATCGGACTGGATCATGACTGATAATGTTCAATCCTTACCCCACAAAACCAATCCTCTGGGTTGCCTTCTACAGCACCTAGATACTTTGGGGTTAAAACAGACCTCAGGCCAAAGGTCTATTTTTCTTTGTCAAAAGGCATGGCCTACCTATCCCCTTGACAGCCAGAACAATGGCCTGCAGAGAGCACACTTGATGTTATCATGCTGAGACACTCAGACCCCTGCTGCTACGGGAAGGCAAGTGGGGTGAGGTGCCCTACACAGTGACCTAACCCAGGTATACAAGGCCCCCCAAATTCTTTTGGCTCACTCAACAGGTCCTCCTCCTTTATCAGCTCACCACAGTGACTCTCCCCGTTCTGGTTTCTGGCACCCAAAAGCTGAGATACTTCCACCCAGTCAGTCACTACAAGCCATGTGCCACCCCGCTGCTTCTCGTCTTCCTTATCTCAAGGTCACACTCGGAGGACTGCACCTCCTGCCTCATCTGCTTCCTCTCCCAGCACTGTGAGCTCCTCCTCCCTGGACCCAACTCTGCCCTCTCCTCTCTCTCCCCCTGCCCATCATACCTGATCCCCAGATCCTCCTAAACTCTCGTTTTATTTCCCAGGCAGCACCAAACATTCAGACTAAATGCAAAACATCAGACCTCTCTTACCTATGGCTTTCCATGTCTTCAACAATAGTAAAAACAACAAAAACAAGATGACAATAAAAAGGTTACATTCCACGATGACCTTAAAAGGGCTGCATTCCAGGCTAATACTCCAAGGCCAGTTTATGGCCTCAGCAGCTGCAGCTGCAGCGAGCGGCACCCAGGGCTCCAGATGAAACAAGAGGCTGGAGGAAAAACATCCAATACCCGCCATGCTTCAAGCGGGACCGAAAAACAACACTAGACACAAGCCTGCTCAGCCCTGTGGCCACAACCAGCTGCAGCCAAGAGGACCACTGGAAATGCTACTGCCCTGACCCCCAGGGAGCAAGTAAGTCATCACCTTCCCCCACCCTCACAGGATAGGACACTGCCACCTGGGACTTGTCACCAGCTGATCTGCTCGACACCACCACCGCTGAAGGGGATCGATGGGGCTTGGGGCCCAAGACCTCTCCAAGGATTCTCTCTCAGCACGCTGAGTCTCGCTGGACGTCTCAGGTAAAACCTTCTTTCCTTGCTGACATGGAAGCCACCCATAGTGCTCTTCCTGAGTTGTAAGGCCGATGTTCCTGGTCTGCAATCTCCATTGTGGAGGTTGATGGCCAACGAAGACGACCTCCACAGCCAAAACCTACTCCCTGCAGATTCCAAACCCTTTCCTTACACACAGCTGTCTTATTGTCCCAGCCTGTCCTATACCTCTTGTTGATAGAAATTCTACTCCAAAAACTCAGTGCCTCTCACACTCTCTCCCTCTCCCCCCCGTCTCACACTCCGACCCCACCGTCATAGCCCCCGACTCAGCCCTCGCCTGCCTGCTCCCTCATGGACCCTGCAGTCTGAGACACCTGCAGTCCCACTCGTGCCACCCCCATTACCCCGCTGCTAATTCACCTCAGACACCCCTCAGCCTTCCCCTCTGTTCCCAGTACCCAGTGGCCCTAAACATCAACAGGGACTCAAACCTATTACCCGCCCCTTGTTAACTAATGGGTCTCTAAAAGTCACTCACTCGCCTTATGACACCCTATTCTCCCTGTCCTCAAACCCAGCAGCTCCTATCACCTAATCCAAGATCCCAGAGCCATCATCAGTACAGGAACCCAGTTCACCCGGGGGCCAAACCCTCACACTGCGCTGTCTCGTGTTCCTCCACGGACCTCTCACTTTCCTGTGTTAGACTTAAACATACACTTCTCACTATTCCCTTACACCCACAATGCCAGACCTTCCCGCGTTTACATGGACGGATTCGGATGCTCCTCAGTCCACTCGACTAACACAGACAGTGCTGCCCCAGGAATTCACAGACAGCCCTCACTTCTTTAGCCACGCCTCAGCCAGTGATCTAGCACCTATAAATCTACAACCCAGTACCCCCATTCGAGGCACAGATGAGTTCACAAAGCTTAAGGAGGCCCTGCTTAGAGCCCCTCCACTCACACTCCCTAACCCTCTTCAGCCTTTATTCTGTGCACTACGGCAGGTAAGGACAATGCAGCGGGAGTGCTGGGACACAGGGAGGGACCTTCCTTCCAGGCGGCAGCGGACCTCTCAAAACAGCCAGACACTACAGTGAGGGGATGGCCTCCCCGCCTTCAGGCTATCGCAGCGACAGCCCTCCTCCAAAAAGTCCACTTTAGGACAGACATCACAGCCTACTCACCACACCGTCTAGGCCGTCTAATTGCTCACAAGACACTCCCAGCTCTGATGGCCCCGCACAGCTACAACAAGCACATCTGACTCTAATACAAGGCCCCACTGTCACAGTCTCAGCCAGCAACACCCTCGATCCACCACCCTGCTGCCCGTTCCCACAGCAGACACAGAGACAGGTCCTCCGCACGACTGCACAGATGCTCTCCAGGTAACTCACGCTTCCCCCTCTGCTCCTGCCTGCAGCCCCTGCAGAACCTCCAGCCCTCCCCATCGCCTGCTCAGTGGACTCCTCTGAGCTTATGTGCGGTAGACGTTTGTCTTACAAAGCTCGCCTCGCCTTCTGATCTTCCTCCCTTAGTGACCACATTCCGGTTCTCTCGGTCCTCTGACACCTTCTTCCACGATACACAGATCTCTGCCTCCCTCAGCCCTCTGAGGGACACACACCAGGCCCTCCTTTATCTCCAGGAGACTTAATCTGTATTAAAATTCCTCTTCAACCTAAGAAAAACGGACCTCACCTCGTATACCTTGGGACTCCAACTGCAGTGAAGGTAGAGAGACTCCCATGCTGGTTTCACATCACCCAAATGAAGAAATGTCATCTGCGGCCCGATAATCTCAACCCCAAACACATTAAAGGGACTTTATGGGCCTCATGTCCAGTAGCTCCCACCCATCTCAGATTAGCACAACACAAACGCTAATGCTCTGCTACCTGCCTGGCTTGGGCCTATATATGGCTCTATGCTTCTCCTCTTCCTCACAGGCGCTCTAACACTCTCCCCAAAACACACCATTCTCCAAAGGCTTACAGTTATCACACTCTGCATATTAATAATCTTACTGCTTACATTCCTCAGCTGCTTTAGTGAGCATAATAAGTTCCTCCTCTAACTCAATCTATTCCTATACCTAACCCTGCAACACTCAGTCACCCCAAAATACCAATTCTACCTGACTAAACATGGGAGGGGGCAGTGGGTCCTTCCCATACAAATATTACTCAAGCCAATTAGACTTCAGGACCTCTACTATTTGATTTCCTTTGGTATGTGCTCACTATTAAACGTTACCACAATGGATAACCCATGTATGCAACCTATGCTCCTCACTTTTACCTCTGTCCTAAAAATCCAAACTACGCACCATCTTTTGACCATTCTAGTTTCATTGTCCCCACTGGAGATGTGAGTCTGTAGGGTGAGTCCATAGACAAGTCATGATGACTACACCAACACAAACATAACTACCACATGTATTCTGGACAGAGGCCTTACATGTTCACTTAAAATATCCAAAGACATTTCCACTACTTCCTAACAGTCAAACACGGGGCTTTCACCTGCATGTCACATCTGCCCCAAGCCTGTATTTATAACTCTTCACAAACAACTGCTCCTCAAACTTTTACATCTTTAAATATCTCAGACCCTAGCTATGACTACCCTATCAACAAAATCTCCGTATGGCACTCTAATAAAACTAAACCAATCTCTATTCCAACAAAAACCTCAAACTAAAATTCTGGGGCCCCTTACAATTGCCCCATCACAACTATGGCCTATAGACATAACTTACATATTCAACCCTAACAATTCACAAAATGTTCCTTAGCTAAAAAACCCAACTGCCTACAAAACGTATATACTAATGACACAAAAAGGCCAATCAGCCTGTCCCTCAACAGGATAATTTTTGTCTGTAGACATGGGGCCTACACACATGTTCCTTTCCTATGCAGGGATCATCTACAATGGCTAATAACACCACAGGTCACTTTGCACACTCATTCACAAATCCAACACCTACATGGCCTACCTTGTCACACTATCATACGTAGAGTGGCCATAGCACCTACTGTGACTGGGATAAGTATATTTTCTGCCATCGGTCTGGGCACAGGGAGATTAAAAACCAGCCTCACATACTACTATCAGGTATTACATGACTTAAAAACAGCGATAAAATCAGGCTCACAAAGTGTTTTTTTTTTAATCAGTACCGGGAATTGAACTCATGACCACACGCTTGCAAGGCAGGTGCTTATGCCGCTAAGCTAAATCCCCAGCCCCTGGTTTTGTTTTTTGACACAGGGTCTCCTTAAGTATCTAGGCTGGCCATGAACTCCCGGAGATCTTCCTGCCTCAGCCTTTGACACACACCTCCAGGCCAGCTTTTGGCATGTGATGACTTGCCTGTGGCAGCATATAACAACCCATGTTCTGTAACACAGCTGCCCTGCCCTTTCGACAGCATTTGGGGACAGCAGGGATTCTGTGCTGGTGGCCCCAAGCTCCACTTTGGGCACAGCCTGAAGCTCTTCCCCAGCTTCCATTCTGTGGGCCCGAAGCACTGAGCAGGAGATGCAGACAGATGACTACAGTCAGTCAGTGAGCAGATGTCATGGTTTATGTCAGTGGCTTCCAAGCCTCATGCAATTATGGACGTGACCAAATCTAACATTTGTGATTGGTTCGTTGTCTATCACTTGGATTGGTGGTGCCAGCATAAGATGTAATGGTGGGAAGAAGGTGTGTGTCTCTCTCTTGCCGGTTTCAGCTTGCCCATGAATGGCTGCCCCGCCACACTATGCTGCCTTGGAGCCAACTAACTATGGTAATGAGTAAAAAGTAACTAAGACAGCAGACGTTCCCACAGCACTAGTGCAACTGATCTGTGTAGGGAAGGTCAAGACCAAAGCTCCGGGGCCTCTGGGGGCCGCGTGTTAGGGGTACTTGGAACTGAGCTCAGGGTTTCACATGTTGAGCTCAGGGTTTCACATGTTCTGGACAGGTACTCTGGCACTGAACTGCATCTCAGTCCTTTATTTTGTCTTACTTGATCCCTGCCTGGAATCACCCAAATCTTTGAGACACTTCCTGACAAATAGTAAAAGTACAGAAAATCAAAAGACAGGGGCTGGGGATTTAGCTCAGCAGCATAAGCACCTGCCTGGCAAGCACGAGGTCATGAGTTTGATCCCCAATACCAAAAAAAAAAAAAAAAAAAAATCAAAAGACAGGAACAAGCACCTACGTAAGAGCGATTTGGGGCTGAGAAATAAGTTGTCTAGGAACAGTGTACATTTAAGTTCCAAAGTCTTAAAAGTGGAAATAATTCCTAAAATCCCCCCCCCTCTTTTTTTTGTCTGTTTCGTTTTTATCGGTACCAGGGATCGAACTCACGACTGCCTGCTTGTAAGGCAGGCACTTACGCCGCTGAGCTAAATCCCCAGCCCCAAAATTCCCTTTTTAAAAGCACACTGATAATAATCTTTTTTTCTTTTTCTGGTACCAGGAATTGAACCTAAGGTCTTGAAAATCCCCAGCCCTATAATTTTTTTCTTTTTTCTCCTTGAAATAAAATGGATTGGGGAAAAATATTTTTTTAATGTAGTGCTAGGGGCTGGGCATGGTGGTGCTCACCTGTACTCCCAGCACTTGGGAGGCTTAGACAAGAGAATTGCTCTGAGGTCAAGGCCAGCCTGGGTTACATAGTGAGTTTGAGACTGCCCTGAACTACGTGGCAAGATCCTGCCTCAAAGAAAGAAAAGAAAAAGAAGAGTGGGTTAGGGGTGAGCCCTAGCCTTGTGGGAATGCTCCACATATCCAGACCTGGCTGGACTTTAAATACTGTTTTTTGTGGTATTAGTGGCTAAAGTCAGGATCTGCAGTGGCAAGCAGAAACGTGAAACAATAGCCAGGACCTGGAGGCAGGTTTGTTACAGCAATGAGCGCCGATCAGGGTCACTCCCAGAATGTCGGGCCTGATCTCGGGTGGTCGGGGGCTTTTATAAGATGAGCAAGCAGGAAGTGCAGAGGCGGAATGCTTGTTAGCTGGGGACAGTTTACACAATGTGCGTCACAGTGAGCAGCTATGTGTCACAGTGACAAGTCGTTTTAAGAGACAGAAGCACTAGAACTGGAACCCAAGCTGTTACTTGGGTATACGGAGAAACTGTTCACTGGCTGAGGGGGCCATTTTCTGTTACAGACTTTTGCACTGAGCTACATCTCCCCGCCTTTGTTTTGAGACAGGCTAAAGTGCCCAGGTTGGACAACTTGTAATGCTTCTGACTCAGCCTCCCAGAACGATATAATTATGGCCATGCACCCCCACGCTGAGAATATTTTAAAAACCTAAAGCAGAAGCTGGGAGAGGTGAATGTCAGTTGTAGAGTATCTGTCTTGTATGTGAGAGGCCCTGCATTAAAGGCAAATGCTAAAGCAAGTATTTCTCTTAATTCCCTTCTCCCCACCAAAAACTCCTATTATTATCATTATTATTTTTACCAGGAATCAAACTCATGACCTCAAGCTTGCTAGGCAGGCATTGTGCTGCTGAACTATATCCCCAGCCCCTAAAAATCCCTATTAAAATGGATAGCAGACATATGGTGGCCACTGGCTGTATTAGTGGAAATGTTTAGCTCTACACAATCTGAGCCTCTGTGGAGGTTTTATGTGTGCAGGTGCTTGTCTCAGAAGGTTTGAGGATCTTTCCTGGCCCAAAAGAATCGGTCACACTCACTAGAGAACAAGGGGAAACACAGAAAAGTGTGCCAAACAAAAACCCCCATAATCCTATCATATAGACATACAAACCTACCAGCAATATTCTAGTTGTTTATTTTTGGTCTTTCTTCCCCTAATGATAGAAAAAAAAATATATATGGTATAAATAATTACAGAATTATTTAACCATATATATATATGGTTAACCATATATATATGGTTAAATAATTACAGAATTTGTGATTTTTTTATTGAATTAAATAGCATTCAGTTCTTTCCCTTACCTTCATATGTTTTGTGTTTATTATTTATTTCTGAAACGAGGTCTTACTCTGCTACCTAGGCTGGCCTTGAACCCTGGGGCCACCAGGTTTTCTTGTATCAGCCTCCCCAGGAGCTGGGACTGTGGCATCTCCCACAGTCTGGCTTCTCTTTATACATTTTAATTGGCAGAGAGACCTTAGTAATGCAATTCATAATTCAGTGACTTTCAAAGTTTTCTTTTATATATTTATATTCAGTTATTTTGTATAACCCTATAAAAGTGATCACATTTTAAGCGATCATATCCCAGTTTTGATAACCGTGACTCTCAGCTTGCAATTCAGGTTTCCGGACTGCTCCATGGCTGTGCGGAGGGTCCTGCCCTGCACTGGCCACAGGTCATGGCCATCTGGCTCCATGAGCAAGGGACAGGGTCTATCACGGGGGCCATCAAAGGTCTGTGTGAGGGTCACTGGGGGAAGGCCTCTGCATACTTCATGGCTCCCTGACCCAACCTGTTCCTGTGGTCGTATAATGAAATGGATGTTGGTACCTGTGTTACAGGCAGCTGAGTTAGTTAGAAATATTAGAGGCGGTCAGACAGGGCTGGGCGCTCAAAAGGAGCCAGAGCAGAAGTCCACATACCTCACAGCCTTGGAAGAGACAATTACCTCGTGCTGTGGGCCAGATCTCAAGACAAAAGGTAAAGCAAATACAGCCACATGCCAAGGATCCACAGTCCGGATAGGTCTCTGTCACCCTGAGGAAGCCAGGGTCAGCGTCCCACCCCCACAGGAAGGGTCACTGCTGCTAAGCATGGCAGCTCTCTACGTGACTTGCTCCCCCATTTGTTCCTAATTTAATCAATTTTACCTGAGCAAGTAATCTTACTGGTCGATCACAGTTCTGTCCTGCCTATCCCCACCTCAAGCATTCCCATTTTCCCCATCTTTGACTCATCTAACCTCATGATTTTACTCTATAAAAGTCCCTAAAAAGACAGTCTTTGGCAACTCACCAGGACCCCTTCTCACACTTTCTTTCTCTCAATAAATATATTCTACCCTTAACCTCTGTTGTTCCTAAAATTCATTCTTTCATTTTAGAGAACATGAACTCGTACTGGATGTACAGTTTCATTCTGCTATATCACCTGGACCTGGAAAGAGGGTGCTGCCTTCCAGCCTTTGCAGCTGGGTCTCTTTGGAAACCAAAACCAGGGCCAGCCCCTCCCAAAGGCTCTGCAGGCTTCCTGTGCAGAGCCAGGTTCCACTTCACTTGGCTTCTCTGCCCCAAAGCACCAATTTCTTTCTTTCTCCTTTCTTTTTTTCCTGTTCCTTGGAGGCGAGGTCTTGCTATGTAGCCCAAGCTGGTCTCGAACTCACATTGATCCTCCTGTCTCAGCTTCCTGAGTGTTGGAATTACAGGCGTGCGGCACCCACGCCTGCCCTCTTCACCTCTTTTCTTTCTGTCTTTTGTAAATGTCTCTCTCAGCATTGACATAGATTTCATGAGAATATCTTGGCAGTTTGGATGGTAGGTGACTGTCCAATCTTATAAGGGAGCCGCTCAGGCCAAGACCAGGTCTTCTGCGTGGACCCTGCAGACGCAGCCGAGAAGACGGCGAGCGCCCCTTTGTGGCTGCGGAGAAGCGCCCAGCCGCACCGCAGCCCGGCCGCCGCCAGGGGCAACCGCCTGCCCAGCGCGGCCAGGAGTGCGGCCCTGCCCCCAAGGTGGCTTCTGGAAACTGCAACCTTGGGACGAAAACGCGAGCATTTAAGGTGCTGGATGACTTATGTTCGGGCCTGGGGTGGGGCAAGGTCGTTTAGGCTGGGCTGGCCTTCACAGAGGCCAGGTGCTGCGCCCGCGGATGGCAGCGCCACGGCGGGAGCTGGACTCTATGCTACACTCCCAGGCTCCCCAGGCCGCCTGCGCCCTGCGACCCCTGCTGCGACCCTGTGCAATGCATCTTCAGCCGGCCTGCGCGGCAGTCCGAGTTCTTCCCTTCAGGGCCTTATATGGTAAGGCTGTGAACGGAACATTCCTTCCTATTTGTCACAAATGTTTTCCACTCTTAGTGGAATCCAGCTTTTTTTTTTCTTTCAGGACTAGGGATTGAACCTAGCGCCTTCATGAGCAGTGCTATTACATTCCCATGTTTTTTTAAATTGTCCTATCTGTATCTTGAAACAGAGTCTTGCTAAGTCAGTTGCCTGGCGTGGGTTCGAGCTTGTGATCCTTTTGCCTCCTCCTGCTGGAGTTCTGGGAGGTAGGTGCAAGCTCCATGCCCAGCGTACTCTAACATTTCTTGAGCTCTTTTTTTGGCAGTTCTGGGGATAAGTTGCTGAAGTGCCCAGCATGGGCTCGAACCCATGACTGCCTGCTTCAGCTGCCCACCGTGCTGGGTCAGTCAGGGAGGTGCTCCTCCTGCCCTCCCCGCCGGCTGCATCCCCTCGGAACACAGACTGCTTCGAAGGGCTCAGGCACAGAGGCCAAGGCTCCTGATGGACCAGCCCGGCCCAGCGGCCCCCTCTCTGGCAGTTTGGGTCCACTGGAGTACACTGCGTTCGGGACCGCGGCCCAAAGGGGAACTAAGTACTCAGAAGCGCGCCAAGGCACAGCAGTTTGAAAACATCAAACTTAGAGTACCCTGGCGCAAGAGAGAAGCAAAGTACAAAACGAACAGCTTCCGTGAGTTGAGGACGTGGACAGGAGCACACAGCCCACGGCGCTGCGCTGTCTCCTTCTCCTGGACAGAGAGGCAGAGGGTGATGTGACCTCGGACTGCAGTGGATATTCATGCTGTCTGAGGAGCCGGTTGGGATTCTGTGTGCAGACAGGAAGGGGAGTTGCAGTTAGGGCCGAGGGAGCAGCAGGAAGCAGGCGTCCCGCTTTGGCCTCCTCCACGTCAGCCCACCGCCATCACGGTGCAGGAATTTATTCTAGGGCAAGAGCCTTTCACAGACCACTCAGGACCCCCAAGTGCAGCACCCGTGGGGGCAGGCACTGACCCCCCGGCCCGGGTCTGGGGATGCTAGCTCCGGTTTGGTCTCAGTCATTGCACACAGAAGGCAAAGTCTTAACCAACCCAGCCCGGAACCATGCACAGCGAGACATTAGAATTCAGTCCCCAGGAAACCAAGACGACAAACTCCCTGGCCGGCCAGCCCTACCACAATGCAAACACACAGGCAGTTTCCGTACTAGCAAAATACTTTTATTATTTTTATAATGATGAAACAAGGAAAGTAAAAGGCTTCTTTTTGGTGTATACCAGAGTTAAGGGAAGTGGAATAAAGGGATTAATAGGACTTTTATGCACTTCTGATGACCATAAAAACTTAACAATACTAATTGTTTGCCATAAAACTTATAGCTCCCCAAAAACAGATATATAAAGGATCATAGTTTTAAAATCTATAAAAGTAAAAAATATACAGTTGGCAGCTCTAACGTTTATTCCATCTTCAATATAAAACTGTAAACATTTATTTACACAAAGCACGTGTGTGTAAGGAAAGTCCAAGCACCCTTTTCTTCTGAGGCGAGGCTCCAGGAAGATGGGGATGTGCAGGCAGCAGTCACCTCCCGACACCCTGAAGCCAGGTTCATAAATAAAGCGGCAGCGGCAGCTCCCGGGGGGACAGGACGGAGAATCACATTTTATTGCTATGACACTGCAGCGAGGGAGAAGCCTGCTGTCTGCCTCCCTGGGCAGCCTGGACTTGGGTGGTGAGTGCCCTGCACAGAGGCGGGATGGTGGTCTGGGACATGGGAGAGGATGAAGGTCCAGAGCTGGCCTGGGCCTGGCTTCTGGAAGAAACCTGCAGAAGTCACCCTCTGCCCGAGCCAGGGCACCTACTCTGATGGGGAAGTCTCCTCTGCCTTTGAGAGCTGGGCTGAGGATAAGGGGAGGTGGCCATGCGTCACTGGTGGTGGCAAATGGCTCTGAAACAAGAATCTGAGGGTCCAAGGAGCCTTGGCAAAAAAAGGCACTGCTGGTGCAAACTAATGGCCAAAGTGACCCAGGCCGTCGCGAGCTCCAGAATGATCCACTAGGTGGCTCAGGGAGGTGGACAGGCTCTCTCCAGGGGGCTCCTCCCCTGCACTGTCCCCACTGCCCACCTCGCTTCCATGTGGCGCAGGCTGTCATCCCACAGACAGCCCCCACCACGGAGCGAAGCTCATTGAGAGACCTTCAAGGAGGCCTGCGGGATCTTCAGAGAGGATGTGTTAGTGTTATAAAGCAATCTTTAAAAGTGCAAGTCCTCTACAGTGGGAGGAGAAGTTGGCAAACAAGTAGAATCCCCTCCCCTGGGCTGCCTGCAGCCTCCCCCCAAACCCTGACCATGAGACGGTTCCAGGGAATTTTACCACCTGCCCTTCCTCCCTTGGATGCACTACATGGCTGCTTCCCACTGGGGCGGGAGGGAGGAACCCAGGATGGGCTGAGGACAGAGTGTGTGCACAACTTCCTTCCACTCCGGCCTATCAACACAAGCCAGCGGAGAAGCTGCAGAAGGCAGGAGCCCCAACAGAGGACAACACCGGACCCCAAATCTCCACCTGCAGCCTGGGTTTTGGCGTGTTCCAGAGGGACACTGGGGAAGAGCATCCTCCGGGAGCAGGAAGGCCTGCCAGAATGACCCTGTCCGGGTCACAGACCCGCAGCCTCCCAGCTTCCTGTCCTTTTGGCATCTGTACTAACAGGAACAACTTTCCGGCCATCCTCCTCCCCTGAGTGCCCCCAGAACAGGAAGACAAAGGCTCTTCACTGGGAGGAAACTTGAGGTTCCAATGCCACTTAGTCACTTTAAACCATCACCTATGCTAATCTGTGTAAAATTTAAAAAAAAACTTTTTTCTATGCTACAAATTACAAATAATTCCACTATTTAAAGTTTCAACAAAAACCTGGGGAGTCTGCTGGTGGCACAGGTGTCCACAGCCTGACACCATGGGCCTTCCCACTGCTCCTGCTGGGTGTTTGGTCAGCTGGGTGAGGGACCAGGTCAGAATCCTGTTCTGCAGTCCCAATACCAGATGGTGACACCAGCACACGGTCCAGGGCCTGGGCCAGCCCAATGGACTGAACCTGCTGGCCCAGGAGTCCCCCAGACCCGGACCAGCCGGGCTAGAGTGGCAGCCTGGGTTCTGCTTGCCCAGCTGCCTGGGCCACAGGCTTTTGGTCCAAAGTAGTTATTCTTTCTTGAATCTGAGAACAGGAAAGGACAGTTGAGTAGGGAGGCTGCCACAAACCCTCCACTACTGAGAACCTAAAAAGTCATCCAACTCATTTATCCACTCCTCAGAAGTCCTGTTCTTCAGCAGGGAGTCGATCAGGTCATTGTGTCCGGCTACGTTGGCCAGCCCGCTGCCACCTGGCTGTCCACTGTAGGCGAAGGGCAGCTCCTGGCCTGCGGTCCGCACAGGGTAGCCCTGGGCACAATGTAGCCCTGCACGGTTGCCCATCTGTGAGGTGGGGCATTGGCTGAAGGCCCCCAGCTCCGGCCCCGAGGGGCTCAAGCCAGACAAGGCCGGCTGCGGGGCTGGCGAGGGAGGCACAGGGGCAGGGGCACTGGTCCTCTGTTGTGTGCTCCCCGGGGGCAGCATGGCCCCTGCTGTAGCAGCTGTGCTCAGGGGAGCCATGGGCCGGCTGGGCATCACTGGGGAGAACTGCGGGCTGGACATCTTCAGGTGCGCCTGTTGCATGTGGAAGGAGGAGGCAGCTGTGAAGGGACTTGCGCTGCCGCTGCTTGGTGCCTGGCTGTTCAGGCTGGGCATTCCCTGATGTTGCCATGAGGCGCTCTGGGCTCCAACGGCTGCAGACACCCTGGGGACAGGTGGCTTGCTCAGGCCAGAGGTCAGAGTTCCCTTGTGCTGCTGGGACAGGGAGTTCTGTCCATAGGCAGTTGGCGCTGTGGCGCCCTGGCCCCCACCCAGCGGCCTGGGCATGTGCGCATGTCCATTGGTGGCCTGCGGCGGGGGCGGCGCAGCCATCTGGGTCAGGCCCGAGGCCAGGCCATAGAGGCTGCTCTGAGGCAGGCCCTGGGGACTGGGGAACTGGGCCACGCCCCGGTCTTGTGGGCCTGAATTTGAGGGGAGCGAGGAAACTGAGGTGTGTCCAGGGCCCATTGACATCAGGTTCCCAGCCTGAGGGAACACTCGAGGACAGCTGGTGCTGGATGGACCCAGGTTGTTCATGCCAGACATAGTGGCTGCAGGTCCTGGAAGACAGGAGAGCCGTCAGTCCCAGCCCCCGCGGACAGCGGGGCAAGGGAGGAGTGCCTGGGTGGGGAAAGTGCAGAGAGGAGCCCAGGGCTGCTGGCTGCAGTCTCCCCAGGGCAGCGGTCAGGTCTAGGCTATGGTGGACCCGGGAGAGAGCTGACGGGCTATCCATCTGCTATCCACCCTAGATCCTGAGCACTTCGTGATAAGCCATCTCAGCCTCTGTCCTGGGGAAGTGTGATTCAGCCTGAGGGCTCGGTGCCCAGAAAGTGTGGGGAAGACTTTAGAGAGGAGGCGACATACACTGGGTGTAAAAGCGTAAGGGCCGAGCAACACAGCAGCTTAGAGAAGAAGCCAGACACAGTGAAGAGGGCAGTCAGACCCAGAGCTGTGGAGGCAGCCTGCGGGCTGGGAGGCCAGCAGGGCCTGCACATGGCCGGGGCAGGCAAGATGGCCAAGTCAAGGCCACAGTGCTGTGCAGAGGGGTGCGGAGGGAGGAGCCCTCAGGGGTAAAGAACACAAACAGTTCTCTAGCATCACTGCTTATGCCATGAAAAAATGGTGAGGGAGGGTGCAGGCTGGGATGAACTGGGCAGGTACCCAAGAAACACCGCACTGGGGAGATGGCAGGCGAGGCCCTTGTTCTCAGGGAACGTGCTAGCCAGGGCTTCTGGCCTAGGCCAAGGCAATAGGGTGACACCATTAACCGAGATGGCTCTTCTGGATAGGACAGTCATTATTCGGGTCACCCAAGACTCAGTACTTGGTCTTTCCTCTTCTCCTCCATTAGCACTCAAGGCAGAATGGGCTGAGAGCTGGGTGTGGTTGCACACATCCGTCACCCCAGCACTTGAGAGGCTGAGGCAGGAGGAGTTCTCTGAGTTCAAGGCCAGCCTGGGCTACATAGTGAGTTTGTCAGCCTGAACTATATAGTGAGACCCTAATAACACTAAACAACCCTGATCCTCCCCAGCAAAAAAATAAAGGTTCTTTTACTGATTGAGACAAGGTCTCTTTATGTAGTTCAGGCTGGCCTCAAACTTGGGATACTTCTCCTGCCTCAGCCTCCCAAGTATTGGAATTACAGGTGTTCAACTGCCATGCCTGGCTTAAGGGGGTTTTTTTTGGTATCAGGGATCGAACTCATGACTGTGAGTTTGCAAGGCAGCCACTTATGCCGCTGAGCTAAATCCGTGACCTTGGCTTTAGTTTTTGAGAAAGGTCTTGCTATGTTTCCCAAACTGGTCTCAAATTCCTAGCCTCAAGCAATCCTGCCTCAGCCCCCAGTAGCTGAGATTACTGGTGTGCACCACAGTACCAGGCTAGTGGGTTTGTTTTTGATTATTTTGGTACTGGGGATTTAACCCACAGCCTTCAGACTGGGTAACATCCTCAGACTTTTTTTTTTTTTTAACTGTTTAAAGGTACCGGGGATCAAACTCACAACCGCCTGCTTGCAAGGCAGGTGCTTATGCCGCTGAGCTAAATCCCCAGCCCCCCTCAGACCTTTTTGATCTTGAGATCTGGTCTCACTAACTTGTCTAGGCTGGCTTCAAATTTAAAATCTTCCTGCCTCAGTCTTGGAGTGCTGGTATCACAGGTGTGCACGACACTCAGTTGAGAGATTTTTTTTGGAAAAGTCACAAAAGACCAACCAAGAAACTTTAAGAATTAGAGAAACTATTTCCTATTAGTAAAATATCCTTCAACCAGAAATTATAAATTACTTTGCCTCAAAGGACTGCACAGCCAAGCACTGGTAGCAGTGTGCCGGGACAGTATTCGCCCGGCTCTATAGGAAGCCCAGGTTCCTCCAGCAGACTTGGGCTTTTCCCAGCACCTAAATCCCCGCCGTACCCAGTGGAGCAACAGGGAGCAGAACTTCACCACCACTGACTGGGTGGGGAACCACCCAGGGACCCTTCTCGACTCTCCCTGACAAGAAGAGCAACTCTCTCCGTTGTGGATAAACTTGGCCCTGTCTCCATGTATTGATCTGTACAGAGGTGGCTAGACCCTGTCTTTGTCCCTTCCATTGGCTTTAAGCAATGCAAACTGGGCTGGTTGAGAATTGGATGTGTAATCTCTGAAGCAAAGAGATAAGTTAGTGTTACCCAGCCCAGTGACTCTCCAAATACATGGTTGAGCCGGGCAGGATGGAAAGCTGTGTTCCATGCTGTCAGCTGGACTGAGCCTTGGGAAAGAGGCTATCACTTCCCAGGGCAGACAGGCTTGTACATCAGTTGCTTACACCTCTAATTTTATTTATTTAATTTTTGGTACTGGGTTGAATTCATGACCTTGCACTCGCCAGGTAGGCCCTTACACTGCTGAGCTCAATCCCTGGCCCAGGATTGTACATCAGAGCTAAAGCACCAACCCTAAATCACTAAATGCTACCTCAGCTATGTCATGCAGATTGCGCTGTTTCTGGCCCTCCGCTTATTGCAGAGGTGATCTCAAACCTCCCACCTAGCCCAGCTCATGGCAGTCACACAGCAGTCACGCATTTCCTGACACTCTCACTGTCACTCATCCCCAAGCCACTCCCCTTATGGAGGATTAATAAAAGGCAGGCTGGGCTCTGGGTCATGGCCTTTGTTCTGGTGAACACCATCTTGGCTGGACTTAGGACTCCCTGGCTCCCCACAACTGTATATATGTCTTAGTGTCTTTCTTCTCGCTGTGGGTTACACTGGAAGTGGTAGATTGGAATTAACTCACTAGAATTCCAGTAACTTCTCCATGGGATTATAAATATAAATCTTCTTGGACTGAGATGAGGATGGAAAAGGACTCTCTATACACTGGAAGCGACTAGTGCCCAACCCATCCTCCCTGCTCCCCTTACCTGTGAACTGTCCGACCTGCGGTGGGAAGGAGCTTTGCGTTGGGTCCTGGTACTGGGGGGGTGGGCGGGTCAGATGGCGCTGATACTGCTGCTTCTCCTAGAGGATGCCAAGAACAGAGGAAACCAGTAGTGTCAGGCTGGAGAAAAGCAATGTCCCCACTTACTGCTCACACAGAACTCCTATGGGAATAATGCTGGTGATCTCATTTTGGCTTTTTAAATAAACAGTATGAAACAAGGATAGGGCAAATCTAAGAAGCATTGAATTAAAAAAAAAAAAAAGAGGTGTATTAGTTTTTCAAATATGGGAAGGTAGCCAGACTTGGTAGCGCATGCTTGTATTTGCTGCACCAAGGAGGCTTCGGTAGGAAGACCACAAGTTATAGTCCAGCCTGGGCAAACCAGCAACTTAGTGAGAAACACTGTTTTTTTTTATCAGTACCAGGGATTGACCTCATGACCGCTTGCTTGCAAGGCAGGTGCTTATGCCGCTGAGCTAAATCCCCAGCCCCCTCAAGTGAGCAACCCTGTTTAAGGGCTGGGGATTTAGCCCAGTTGTGAGTTCAATCCCTGGTACCAAAAAAAAAAAAAAGCAACAGCAACCGTGTCTCAAAATGAAGAAGATGATGAGGAAGAAGAGGAAAAGGAGGGAGAGGAAGAAGAAGAAGAAAAGGAGGAGGAAGAGGAAGGGTTGGGTCTTAAAGACCTCTGTCAAATGCCCAAATGCCGGAACAGGCAAACTGACAGAAACCGAGTAAATCAGAGGCTGTGTCACTGAGGAGCTGGAGATGGACAGTGACTGCTCATGGGTCAGGGTTCTCAGGTGATGATGCTCTAACATGATTGTGGTGATGGCTGCACAACTCTGCAAATACATGAAACACCAATGAATTCCACAATTGATTTTAATTTAATTATTTAACTTAGTTTATTTTTTGGAGACAGGGCCTTGCTATGTAGTCCAGGCTGGTCTTGAACTCAGGGATCCTCCTGCCTCAGTCTCCTGAGTGCTAGGATTACAGAGGTGTGCCACCATGCCTGGCTTGAATTCTCCAGTTTAAATGCACAAACTCTACATTCTAATAAGGTAGTTATTTTTAAAAAACAGGTGCAAGCAGAGTGGGACACACATGTAACCTCAGCTACTTAGTAGTGTTAAGTAAGGCAGGAGGATCACAAGTTCAAGGTCAGCCTGGGCAATTCAGTGAACCTGTCTTCAAATAAGATCAAGGATGTAACTCAGTACAAGGCCCTGGGTTCGGTCTTCCATTTCTTGTAGCACTGTGGACAGAGCCCAGGGCCTTCTCACTGAACCCATCTCCGCTACTGGGGTTGGGTTGTGAGGGGAGAGGGTCAAAGCATCCCCTCTGCACTCGCGGACACAGCCTTGCACAGCCACAGGCAGAGCCTGCATGGCCCCTCCCGCCTCCCTTCTTCACCTGCTCTGCCAGGAGCTGCTGCTGCTGCTGCCTCTGCAGGAACTGTTGCTGGTGCTGCTGCTGCTGCTGCTGGTGCTGCTGCTGCTGCAAATGCTTCTGCTGCTGCTCCCTCTGCTTCTGCTGATCTAAAAGCAGCTGATGCTGCTTCATGACAGCTGCTTGCTGCTGGCTGCTGAGATATGAGGCGCTGTTGTGCGTGGTGGCTATGGACACAGCAGGTGGCTGGGTCCCGACACCAGTGGCCTGAGCTGGCACAGAGACACTGGCAGGATTCTGCTCCTGTCAACACAGAGGAAGGGAGCTGGAGTGGGTGGGATGGGAAGCATCAGAGCTCACAGAGGCCACGAGAGCGCCACGTGGAGAGTGTTGGCTCGAGGCTCCCTCTGAGCTGGGCCTCTGTGTCCCTGCCAACGCCAGCAGGCTGGGTAAACACCAAATGCCAGGCTGCCTTCCAGCGCCCAAACAAGCAAACACTCGACCAGCACCAACTCTGCTCTCTCAAGGGTGGCTAGTGGCTGCCGTATCATTTCAACATCACTACTTATACTCAGAAGAAAAAGGCCAGTAACAATTATTAAACAAGTTTAACTTTTTGAGGTCCTTTTCAGTTCTTACTAATTTGTATATGTAATCCTCATGAGAATGTTTTTTGAGGGCTAGGGTCTCACTCTGCAGTTCAGGCTGGCTTAGAACTCACTTTGTAGGCCATGATGGCTTCAACCTCAGTGACCCTCCTGCCTCAGCCTTATAGAGTGCTTGGATTACAGGTGTGCATCACCACACGCAGATCCTCATGAGTCTAGCAGTGTAATGTCTTTTTCTTTTCTTTTGTTTTTGAGACAGAGTCTCACATGTAGTTCAGGCTGGTCTTGAACTCATGGCGATACTCTTGCCTCAGCCTTCTGAGTGCTGGGATTAAGGAATGTGCTCATGTTAGATTCCCTGTCTGAGAGACAGAACAATCATGACAGTGGTTCAAAGCTGTGCCCTGATAATGCACACCTCCTTCTTCCCAGAAGCCCCTATGGCTTCTCCTTTCCAAAAGTCTGCCAAAGCTCAGGAATGTAAAGGTTTATCCAATCCCCTGCACTCTCATGAAATACATCAGCTCACACCAGCCATCAGAGCCCTTCCTCCATCAAAGGCTGTATCATGCAGAGCCTGCCCTTTGTCTGTAGAGAGTCACCACAGCCTTCCTTGTGGTGACTCCCTCTATGCGCTCCCTGCTCATTAAACTCTTTTCTTATCTACTTGCCTCCTCTCTTTAATATTTTGTGCTGCTCTAGACTGAGTACAAATCACTCAATCATTACCACACCCAGATTTTTCTGATTTTTCAGATGGAGCCTCACTATATGTCCCAGGCTGATCTTGAATCCAAGATCTTCCTGCTTCAGCCTCCCAATAGGTGTGACTACAGCCATGTGCCACTGCACCCAGCTCAAAAGATTCTGAACAATATGAAAGGTAGCAAAAAAGCAAAACTTCTAAAAAAAAAATACATGAAATGTGATCCTTTAAAAAAGCACAGGCATGGGCTGGGGATCTAGCTCAGTAGTATAAGTGCCTGCCTGGCAAGTGTGAGGTTGAGTTTGGTCCCTGGTACAAACAAAACAAAACAACCCCAAAAACAAAAAAAGCTGCAGGCACAGAATAATGCAAAGTGAACCGCATGCTTACCTGGCCAGGTGGAACCAGTGACCGGAAGGGTATATTTCCTGGCTTTGGTTTCATTAGAAATAAGGGGTTTTGCTCATTATTCAGATGAGGCAGCTGCTGGGGAAGATAAGCCATCAGGGCTGGCTTGCTCTGGCTAGACCCGGGGCCACTTTGCCCACAGTCTGCTTTGTAATGAGACAGGGGTTTGGTATTGCCATAGTCCAGCACCGATCCTTGGCTATTCACGGAGTTCTGACCCAAGTTAGTTGGCGGCTGGTGACTCAGCAGGTTCGAGTGGCCAGGCTGGAGGAAGGGGACTCCGGGCCGAGGGGAGCTCTTGCTTACTCCAGGCATCATGAGCAGCTGGGAGCTGGGGAAGTCCTGCTTGTAGCCAGCAGGGCTGGCAGGCTTCTCCACGGGATAAGGGACATCCAAAGGGCTGTGGGAGGGCCCTGTCTGCTGCCATGCAGGCATCTGGCCTGGGGCTGGGGCAGCCTGTGCTGGGTTTTGGAGCACCTGCTCACGCTTCTGCTTGGCAGCAATCTGTTGGAGCTGGTGGGTGGAGGACAGCTCAGGTGCCCCTCCTGGGCCCTGGCCAGACAGCACCCCCCCTGCGAGGGCTCTCGGCGCACTCTGGGCCTGGGCTGACGCCGGCATCAGGTTCGGACTGGGGGTGCCCGCCGCAGGCTGACCAGAGTTGTGAAACAAGGTCTGAGAGCCCCCAATGCTGGGGGGCTCTGTGCTCACAGATGCAGATGAAGGCCCCAGGAAGGTCTGTCCTGAAGACCCGGCCCTCACCTGGGGAGAGCCTACTTGTTCCTGCTCAAAGGCTGCCGGAGAGAATTCTGTCTTAATGTTAATGTCTTGGGACAAGGGGGTTTGTGTGGAAGCACTAGACGGCTCCGGGTCCTTTTTCTCTTCGAAGTCCTCAGTAAACAGGTCCTTCATGTCTTCGTCAGGCACGGACCTGTTCAGCTCCTCGATGAGCTCCTTCCACTCCTGTTCGTTGAGGTTGAGGTCTGGCATGAGATTGCTCTGTGAGATGGAGCCTCCAGCCCCAGCGATCATGCAAGGCAGGTCGTCCACAGGCTCCTGCTTCAGCTCCTTGCTCAGGCTCAGAGCAAAGGCCTCACCAGCGTTACCACATCCATTCAGGTGGAGGCCAGGGTCAGCCAGACACTTTTTGTGGATGGCATCAAGCCCCAGGGAGTGCTTCCCAGTGGACTGTAAGGCCTCTCCAGCAGAGGGCTTGTCAGGGGGTGGACCGAGGGGCGAGGCAGGAGGCAGTCCGTTAGCAGACAGGGTCACCCCCAGAGGGGCCTCACGCCGTGTCTTCTTATGTCCAGGAAAGAGGTCTCCATAGCCGTTCTGTTGCTCGCCATTCTGAGGGGAGGTGGTATTGTCAAGATTCCTTTTCACTGTATCATGAAGAAGCTGAAAAGCATTGAAAAGGGAGACATGAGTACATAACCTAACCTCTGAGGCTCCCGCTGCTTCCAACTGTCACTTAAACTGGGGCCTGCATTCTTACATGCTTTCTGGGGCGCCACCTCACCCTAGGACTGGCCCACCACCAGGTCTGGGTCTGGGTGGTCCCAATCGAATGTCAAGCTCAGCTGGGGAAAAATGTGTCAAACCCTGGACTTCTGCAGCTCTCTGTTTTGCACGATACAAGCCGGATGCTCCCTGACATCTAGTTGCAGAGTTTGTTCAAAAACAGAGCTAAGCAAAGAGCCAGAGGAAAGCAGAAGCTAAGCAAAGAGCCACTGAAATTCGTGGGACATTGCTGGAATCCTGGGCTATACCTGAGATCAGCCACTACCTTGACTTTCCACTCACAGGAACCAGTAAATACCTGTATGAAGCCAGCTTGATATGGATTCCCTTCCCTTCCGCTGAAGAAGCCCTGCCTAGAGCAGGCTCTGGAACTGGAATAATTCTTCACAGATCACATGGGCCTCTGCCTTTCAGCTGTTATCCCAGCCTCCTCCCCATCACCAAAACACCTTCTAAACCCCTGCCCTGAATACTGCCCCTGGGAGCCTTGCTACGGCCCGTACTGGGAGGTAATCGAGTCTACCCTGGCGCTGCTGTGCTCTGCTATGCCAACTCTAACAACCTCCTCGTGAGTCTGCTTGTGCCAGGGACAGGACTGAAGAACACAGACCAATAAGGCAAAGCCTTCTCTTCACGGCCTCTAACTGCCTAGATGGGGCATATCTGGACATGAGGGCACAGAACAAGCTAAATGTCCTACACAGGCACTACGGCAGCAAGCAGCTTGAGTGCTCCAGGGGCAGGTGTTTCGTGATGAGAACACAAATGGGGTGGACAGGAGATGAGGTGGCATCTTCCCATGTCCCCATCCTACCTTCAACTGTTGGGGTGTGACTGACCCCTGCCAGAGGGGGCGCCTGTACCAGGCCCCAGCATCCCAATCACAACCCTGTGACCCCAACTGCAGAAGGTTCCTTGGGCTGTTCCCGCAGGCACTCAGTCTGTCTGCAGGAAGCTGTCTGCAGACATCAATTTCCTCCACATCTAGGCCTCTAGGCTGCATTCTACTGTTAGCATATTCCCCCCCCTCCCCAGGATATCAAGATTTTCCTTTTTTCTTTTGGTAATACGGGGATTGAACCCGAGGCCTTCATACTGAAAGAGTTGCCGGCCCAGATGGAACACTGTAACCAGAAAAGGCTGCAGCTAAACTCCCCCCCCCCCCGCCCCCTATGGACTTGATTGTAACCCTATATCCCCATCCTTAAGAATCTGTGCGCCAATGAGATACCTGTGCATCTCTAATGGCATTAGGGTGCTGCCCTAAGCTTAGGCTATTTAGATTCCCCCACGCCACGTGTCCGAGAGAGTTCGCCAGAGAGAGAGACCCAGATTTCAGCGGCCAGCGCTGGCCAGTGCGCCAGTCTCCACTCCCCGTGTTCCCGGAGAGACCACCCGCCCCGGGTGCAGAGATGCTGCGCCTGGGGCCAGCGGCGGGGGGCCCCCTCCCCGCAGTCCCGGAATAAAGCCACCGCTGACCACTACTTTCACGGCCGTCTGCTCCATTCCTCCCACGGACTTCTCTCCTCTCCCTTCTCTCAGACCTAACAATACCAGGCACGCATTTCACTACTGAGCTGCATCTCTAGATCATTTCAAAATGTTCTGAGACATTCTTGCTGAGCTGCCAAGGCAGTCCTGGAACTTCAGCTCCCTTGAGGTGCGGGATCTCAGGTGTGCATCAGCAGTCCCGGTTCAGGCTTCTCTCTCTTAGCTGTGAACCCCAGCTGAGGTAGTCTTTCAATCCAGATAAAGATAAGTTGGTGTGGAAAAAAAATTAAAGCAATGCTGAACAATAGAACTGTAGGGCAGAGGTAGTCACAGAATTTTTGGACCCAATTTAAGCAAGCACAGGGTCTCTGTACAGACACAACTGCTTTGCTTCCAGACACGGATTCCTGTTTCCTACTGCCACCTAGAGGGTGCAGGGAGAGGAGAGCCACACCCCTAAAATGGATCCTCTATTAAACATAACCTTCAGGAAATAAAATTCATCCCCATTTAACTGGTCAGAGAAAATAAAAATGAGTTGCTAATATTTATGCCTTTTCCATTTTTCTTCTGTTCCACAGAGCCAGGTCCCAGCTGCTCTGGAAACCCAGGAACTTGGTTTTCCATTTTCCTAAAGGGGACGATGGAAACCTAGAGGGTCAGGCATTGGGTGAGTCAGCTGGCTGTCCCAGATTAGAAACAGGCTCCCTCTCTGCCCCAACAATTATAAAAGCCACCACACCCTTTCAACAGCCACACGCGAACAGCTGCAGACAAGTTCCAAAGAGCGATTCCATTTTGCAACAGCACTGCTTTGCAAACACTGAGCCACTTTTGTGAACTTTTCACAAAACTCACTGGGAATGGTGTAGGTGGGCTGAGGAGTGTGGATGGTGGAGGCTCAGGCACTGTAGGGCAGCAAAGGTGAATTACCTTGAAGGCTGAGCCCCAGGCATTTACAGTGGGGCGAGAAAGCAGCCTGAATAGGTTAGAAGTGATGTCAGAGCAAATAGCAGGTGTAGCAAGTCACACAGGACCAACTGCCACCTGTAAACACACTGGCCTCCTGTGGGTGTCCACCCAGAGGTTCTTGTTCTGAGAACCAAACCATCTCAGTCAGGGGTCCATGAGGAGCCAGTTCTGGGGAAATGACTTGACCCACACTCTGGTCTGCTGCAGAACAGCTCCCTGATGGGGCTGGCAAGTCAGCAAAGCAGCCCTGCAGGCTGGGCTCCTTCCCACATCCGGGCTGGCTCACATGGGAAGGCCTTGGTCCTTTGCCGCAGAGCCAGGCATCCAGCAGAAGGGGGCTGCAGGCCACCGATGCTGCACTGAATGGAGCTGACCCACTGTAAATCAGCACCTGCCTCCACTTCCTGCCCCCACTAACCTGAAGGAGGGTCCCTTGCCTGTCGAACCTCCTCCTCTCACCACTCACTGCTGTGATCCCAGGGTGCTGACAGCGCCTGCAACTCCCCCAAGGAGCAGCCTGCTGTGGAAGGTAGGAGTGGTTCTGCATCGTGCGCCCCAGCTTTCTGCCTCTCCCGTGGGTACTGGGGATTCACCCTTCCTGAGCCTCCCTCTGCTTCCACCCTTCTATCAGCCACCACCACCCACCGCCTTGGTGCTCCACCATACAGGTGCAATCCTCACACCCTGGGAAGGGACAGAACGCGGGGAAAGGAAGGCTGGAGTGAGGGAGAGTTTCTGGAAGGTCGGCACAGTGTACAGGCTGTCAACCGCAGGCCACACTGGCAGCCCACTCCTGAGCCTGTCTCTCTCTCCCTCCTCCTCCCTCCACCACCTAAGAAGCCCAATGAACTGCCTCCGCAGTGGCCGTTCCCTCCCCACACTGTCTATCTTCTTTTCTACTCTGCTTTCTCTCCATTTCCCTTGCCCTGCCGTCGGTGGAGTGGCGAGCGCTCTCCCAGTTCCCTTGCCCTGCACCCTTCTCCCTGGAATCCTACTGGGTGACACATCCTTCACACAGGTCTGTCATCACCAGGTTCTTCCCAGCTCATCTGCCCTTCCCCAAGTCAGGCTGGCTTCTCCTGCTCTAAGGGGTGCCCCTGTTCCTGCACACCTCTCCCCCGCGCACAGACAGCTCAGAAGAAGCTTGTCCAGGTCTGAAGCCAGGTCCTCCAGTCCCCTGCTCCCACCTCAGACAAGGTCCCTGGTGCGGCAGCCGCGGCCAGAGACCACAGGCCCTTTCCTGCCTCCCTGGCACTCTGCCCAGCACCAGGCCACTGAGCCTCCCCCTGTGGGGCTCTTCAGCTTTTGCGTCTCCTTCCTACCCCTCCTTCCCTTTCTTCCTCAGGGCTGATGATGGAGCCCAGGGCCTCAGGCGCAAGCAGGGGTGTGGGAAGGTGCCCCACCCCAGCTGTGCCCCAGCCCATTTCCCCACTACCTCCAATTTCCCTTGTGTGAATCACTGCAACTGCATCAAAAGCCAGTCTCATCCCAACCTGACCCCACGTGCATTCCACACCACAGCTGCGTGCTGCTCCAGAGCAGATCTAATCACCTCCTTCTTCTCTTCTTTTTGGAGACAGTGTCTTGCTATGTAGCTCAGCCTGGCCTTGAACTCATGGCAATCCTCATGCTTCAGCTTCCCGAGTGCTGGGATTACAGGCCTGCACCACCACACCAGGTAAAATCATAATTTTTTAAGGTGATAATTTAATTACTGACAACTTCAGCCTAGCAGTAGACTTGCTCTTTTCTTGAGCCTGGCCGGCACCCTGCTGTTTCTGAAGGGCAGTCACCATTGACCTAGTGTGCCTAGTGGTCCTGGCTGACTACTCCTCCTGGTTTGCACCAGGACTTATTCCTACTAACCCTTCAAAACCACCCTGGAAGACAAGGACCACTGTTCCTGTTTTACAACTGATCTGAAATTTAGAAAATTACATAAAGCTGGCATGGTGGTACATGCTGGTAGTCAGTACCCAAGAGGCTGAGGCAGAACAATTGCCTTAAGTCTGAGCCTAGCCTGAACCATGTAGTGAGATCCTGTCCCCAAAAAAAGAAGAAAAAAAGTTGGCTGTCTCAGGAAGGAGTCTTTGCAGGTGTGGAGTCTGCTGTAGATGCCAGCCAGTCTCCTGTGTCAGAAGCACAGCTAGGTCCAGGGAAACCCGTTTCCATGTGTGACCCTCCAGAAAGAGGCTGTGCACAAACACCAAAGCCAAAGCCACGCAGCGTGAGTCCAAGCCAGGGGCACTACTGCATGCCTGTAAGCCCAGCATTCTGGAGGCTGAGGCAGGAGGCTCACTGTGAGTTTGAGGCCAGCCTGGGCTACACTGTGAGTTCAAGACCAGCCTGAACTACATAGTGAGACCCTGTCTCAAACAATAAGAATAAAATTTTTTACTCTGAAATAATTGTAC